CCACCAATTCACTCTACACACACCCAAAGGAAAGACTAGATAAATTGTAAACTATTTTTTACTTTAGCTAGCCTATACTACGGAGATTATAAACTTCGTTTACATATATGATTTAATCTAAGTCTCACACCGCGATCACTTATTCGCATAAATTTAAAACAATTTATTCCGTTCAGTAAGTATACGTACAACAATTCAACTAGAAGTCCCATGAATAAACAAATATACAAACTAGTATAAGTCTTCTGGCACTAAAATGCATCTCTCGTGTGAATGTTCTGAAAGGAAACTTTTCGTTCGGAGTTCTGAGTATCAAAAGTGTTCATTGCCACTCGATTTCGTAATGAAATCGTCGAATAATTTTCTTCAGGCCTCCCGCAGTTCTATCGATGTCTTACCTAAAACAAAAGAAACAATATAAGTCAGTCTATCTAGCCTGAGTTCAAACTCAAAAGAACTGGGTTGTATTGGTTTCGAAAGTTAAAATAGATCGACATCGCATCTTGTTTAAATGTTATATGGCTCGGGTATTCCATCAAGTGGAACCTCTATTTTGTTTTAAATATCAAACTATTAAAATTTTTATAAACAACGGGATATATGTTTAAATACAAATGTTGGTAGTCATATTTTATTAAGGACAGAGCATGATATTTAAATAAAACACTTTAACGGTTTAAAACGCGATATATTAGTTAAACTTATTGGAAAATGATTTTTAACGCAGGCAGACTCGTGACCACGGCTGCTGCAAAGCATCCGAAACGTCGGGCCGAAGTTAATGTGACAATTGCTACGCCAGCGTCATCTGTTTAGTTGGTTGGCGAAACTGGCCTTTGAAGTCAAATGTGACCTATGATCAATTTGTATGTGTATCAACTCTGTGGTTAAATAACATACTCCAACGGTTTAAAACCCGATATATTAATTAAACGGGGAGTCTCCCCATGACCACGGCTGCTGCATAGCATCCGAAACGTCGGGCCGAAGTTAAAAATCATCTTCAAATAAGTTTAACTAATATATCGCGTTTTAAACCGTTAAAGTGTTTTATTTAAATGTGTACTACTCGCGTAAACTATAGACAGTGTTTAATAGAGCATGATAGACAGATAGGAAGATGCGATGTCGACCTTTGGATCTTACAAGTTCGTATGGAGAAGCGAAAGTTAAGTACTAAAATAACACATTAAACAGTATAAGAATACAATATCTGTGCCACGAGACCTGTGAATGTAAGTAGTTTTAATTCAAATCGATTTTAGATTTTTTTTAATTACGACACTACATCCACAATGTTCCGGCCTGTTGTATAACAACCTTTTTCAACCTCAGTTAGATTATTAAGTCATCGCCGATCAATACAACCAATTAATATCCCACAGCTGGGCAGAGATCTCTCATGGATCCATCAAGCACTTATTTTAAATCAATGATAATAATAAACAGGATCGATGACGTATCGTACTTTCCAACGCACAATATCACCTCAAATACCCAACTAAAGTTTCGTCCAATACGGGATTTGTATCAGAAACCTCGTGAACTGCAATCGAGTGAATAACCATTCTATCAACGATGCCTTAGAGTGACAGTTTTTTGAAAATGATCGACGTATAATGAGTGAATTTCAATTTCCAGTTTACGTAAAAAGTGAAATCCCATTATCCCCCGTGGGGCATGAGGCGAACACATTTGTGTCCGATTCACGGATCGGTTCTTTTCAGGCATGTAGTTCAGTCCTCTGTGCCCTGCCCGACCAAAACGATCTCTTGATTCATTGGGATTCGAATCTAGGATCTGTCGCGCTTCTAGGCAACCTATAACCGTTTGGTTACTAATGCGGTAAGTTTACGTAAGGAATTCATTAATCAAGTGCTGTTTGTACTTTAAGTCAATAGTAAGTAAGTACACATTTAAATAAAACACTGTTGATGGTTTAAAACGCGAATTCTATTAGTTATTTACAAGAGGAAAGTCCACCTCGTGACCACGGCTGCTGCAAAACAGCCGTAACTTTGGGTTGTAGTTAAAAAGAAATTATTTATAAGTTTAACTAACAAATTTTGTGTTATAAACTATTAAAAGTGCTTTATTTATATTTAAATCGTTCTGGTCGTTTATCATTTTGTTATAAAAACGGGATCAGCCTACTTCAGACTGTTAAACAAACCACTAAAACAAGAGATCACGAAATGCCAATAAATAAAACTTTGATATCGTTTTTATAAATTTTAGTATCAAACAAGTGTTGAATATTTCGTGTTTTATAAATCTTCTCCGCGTAAAGTTTTACGAGTTATTTAACGCTCTTTCGAGTGTTTGATGCATTGGAGTAATAGCGCGTAATAGTCTCTCCGTAACAAAGTAATAAACTGTAACTCTTCTTATGTAGCAAGGTTCACTTATAAAACAGCGGCAGAAACGTCGACTACCTTCACAGCCAGGGCCAGAATTAAAAGTCTGGAGGCCCCGTAACAGACGGAGAAATAAATTGTGTAAGGCTTTCACGGCCATCGTTCAGCATATCTGTTCGGGCTGTTCGGCCGAAAGACAATGAAATGCTTACAGTCATGTTCCAAAATAAATAATCATTGTTTTGGAACGAATATAAAAAGAGAAGTTGTAAACTGGTTTTTAGTAAGTGGAATTAGAAAAAAAAACGAAATCGTTATTGTAGGGGCCCCTCATTTGTAGAGGCCCCGGTAGCCGTTACCTAAATCCGTGCCCTGTTCATAGCTGTAATAATTACACGTGCATTGCGTTCATCGCGAGAGGTACTAGATTCCAATCCCGGGAAAGAACAAATTGAAACGTTCGGCATGGCGCAGAGGCTTACCTTCATTTACAAGTCTCAAAGAAATATTATTTAACTCTTTAATAAAAAATGCCACTGAAACGGACACATAAATATATTCATCTCATTCCCGATGTTGGGAAACTTTAATGCTGAAACGTGGGATTTTAGTCAAAAGTAAATTACGAAATATGTTTCGGCTAACCCGTAAGAAGGTCATTTAAAATGACTCGAAAATTTGAGATGATTTTTGTAGAAGCAAAAAACTATTGACAACATCCGTTCTCTTTAGTCATCACTTAACTTGTTATGTGTTAAGTTACATGTTATATTATATTAAGTTGTGGTACGTTAATTATTACAATATTAAGAGATTCAACTCAAATGTTTGTATTCGTCACTAATGTTGGGCGTATCAAGACGCAAACGTATTGTATACTGTTTGTTTGCACTATACGATATATTTAATTAAACTTTTTTTAAATTATATTAACTTTCGCGTTTTAAACCGTTAAAACTATTCTATTTAAATGTGTGCTACTCGCGTTAACTTCAGATTGTACTTAATTATTCGTGTAACCCATTGAGAATTGCATCCAGGTAAGAACTTTTAATCTTATGGAATCTATGCAATATTAAAATAAGAAGTTTGCTTATCTCATTTTCAGGGACAGCTGGTTCGAATTGAAAAATTGTTTTTCGCTGAACAGACCATTTATCAATAGAAGTTTAAGGCTAAGTAACAACGGAAAATGTGAATAGTAAAGCAGATAACATTATTCATATGTACGGCCTTCCGTAGCGTGTGCTGCCAAAACTGTACAAGAAACCAAATGTTCTAGTAAGAGTGGTTCCTCTATAATTATTTAAAAAAACCTTTTAGATTGACTCGCAAGAACCGTCTTTATGGTAGGTAAAGGTTCAGTCGAAAGTAATGCATTACTACTGATTTTTTAATAGAATTGTGTCAACGTAATAATATTTGCTAACAAACAACAGAGCAACGTTTGTGAAATAACACTCACTTAAATACAAAATGGCGGTCTTTAACTATTCCTAATATTAAAACTCTTACAAATTTAATTAAATATTATGTACAATATAAATAATCATATGAAGGATCTTAACAAATAAAAATATATGTATACAGACTGTAAGTTTTTTAACTATCAGAGTCCATTTGACACTTTGAGACAAATTATACTTAAGTCCGTAATTTACACGAATAGAACACTTAAAATATAATACCTTTAACGATTTAAACACGATATATATATGATAACTTATGAGTAGTTTAAAACAATATATTCCGCGTTTTGACCTGTCAATTTTTAATTGATTTTAAAATTTTAAAGTTTTAGCTTGATAGAGCAATATATTAAAACAATGTTATTATTTTCTTTGATACGAAAAATCCTTTATGTGATTTCTCATATTCTGCCAGTCACAAGTCTTGTCAGTTAACAAAGACATTTTTGTTAATTCATACCTACGTTAAGTGCACTTGGTCGCCAGATGGCCATTGTCTTATTCATTACAAGAAATATGGCGTTCGAACCTTGACAAAAAAAAATTTCAACTAATTTGATATAACTCCATTAAACGAATAACCTCTTCCGAAAGCAAGGTAATCGGTGTCACGTTTTAATGAATGAGAGCAAGAGACATTAAAACAGTTTAATATGATGTATCACAGTGGTTCCACTAATCCACAAGAATCAAACCACACACTACGATAATGTATGTCCAGAACTAATCAAAACAGTCTTCACGGCGTTAATACGAGCTCGGAACGGTGCCGTTCACAGTCCACGCACAAGTGCTCGTACCCACACCCTCGCACCATTAGCATACATTATTATGGATGATTTCAAACACGTGTTAACATACCTATAGAAGTGAACAGAGCGGGAGGCGGCAGGGTCGGCCGCCGATCTGTAAACAGTGGTTATCGACGCCGGCGCTTGCCTCTGCGGCATCTCCGGCTATATTTATCCGCTGGTACTGACGCGGGCGGCTAAATCCGTTCGGCGCCGTATGATGCCGGCCTCCTGCAACCACAACCACGTCACGAAGTGCTCCAACATCCAACGTCCCCACGGCCGAGGGGGGTCGATATCAAACAACTCGCACAGCTCGTTCGCGTCGCCTAAAAGATTCGCAGAGCGGATAAAGAAGTTTGTGCTCACCTGAGGGCGAAGTCTCAGTAGGACTTGTGGGCGGGCGCGGGTGCGGCAGCTACGCAGGCTTGGTGGTGGTAGTACGACGGTGCTGGCGTACGGTAATGGTGGTGGGGTGGCGGCGACGCGCGGTACGCGTCGGGCACCGGCGAGCCGCCGCGGAAGCCGGCCAGCTGGCAGCTAGGCGGTTCAAAGAGATCTCTGAAGGCCGGCGGCAGTTGTTCGGCTGGTGGTTCTGGGGCAGTGTACCAGCCGGACGTTGCCGCTCTGAAGTCTTCCGCGGCCAAGGAGTAAGGTTGCGGTGAACAATAAACAGCAGACGGTGGTAATCGTGGTTCGCTGAAGTCATCAAGCGCGTCATTAGGTTTCTCATATCTTGCACAGTCAGCGCCCGGTTCCCGCTTTGGTCTGCATTCGAAAATTCGGGGTTTTACATCGGGCTTCACGTCGCGTTGCTGACCAAGTGCGTCCGCAGCACTGAGCGCTTCTTGCGCTGCTAGTGCCTCTTGCGCTTGTTGCAGCTGTTGCTGCCGCTTCAACGCTTCCTCCTTTTCTTTTAAAGCGTCTTTCTTCTTAAACCGGCGCCGCCGCCGTAGATATGATCCGTTATCGAACATATTATACGAATCGGGGTCTAGCGTCCAATAGCTCCCTTTGCCAGGTTTCTTATCGTCCCTCGCGACTTTCACGAAACATTCGTTGAGGCTCAAATTATGTCTAATTGAATTCTGCCAGCCCTGTTTGTTTTCTCTGTAATACGGGAACCGCTCCATGATGAACTGGTATATGCCGTTGAGCGTTATCCGACGGTCAGGCGCGTTTTGGATGGCCATTGCGATCAGGGCTATGTAGGAATAGGGCGGTTTGACCATATCTTTTGGGGTGCCAACATGCTGCTGATGGGGATGGAGATAGGGAGCACCGTAGCCGTATCGATACTGTTCGTAGGCGTACGGTGTGACACCAGCTGAGTATCCGCCGGTCGCACCACCGCGGTAAGCATAGGGGCTCTGTTCACCGAACAACGCGTGCATTTTTCTTATAAATTACGTTCACATACACATCATCAAAAACTGAACGCGATACTCTCGACGTGCTGCTGTAACGGCAACAAAACGAAGACTGACTGATTTTGTTTAGATTCACAACAAGAGCGGTTTACATAGCGGACGCTAAACGAGGGGCGAATGAGAGAGACCGGGGCAGGCACCACACGACGTAGTAAACGTCACGTGGATCCGCCCTCTACGTTTAGCTGTCTTGCTCTTCTAACGCCAGTTACGTTCGTATTTCCATCTCTGTTTTTCACCATGCGACTTATGAAGACGTTTAGGACACGCCCAGAAAACCGTTGGGGGGCGGAGATTGGGATGCTCGTACCCACGACGAAGCACCCTTCTTTTATAGCCCTTTTAGACCCTTTGTTACGCTCAATTGTCAATTACTTTTAGCGTGCGGCTACAAAAATAATTTGGACGGGCTAATAATAAGTTTACCTTTTTGCAATTTTGAATTATATGTATCATAATTACATACCTATTTAATTTATACCTGTATTAGTGAGTAGATACCTGTACACAGTTAAAAATAGCTAATGTAGCTATTAAAAGTAGATAAAAATTAATAAAATGCTGAATTCATTAAATCATTTTCAAATAAGTTTAACTAATATATCGCGTTTTAAACCGTTAAAGTGTTTTATTTAAACAGTAAAACGTTCATAAAAATATGTCCGGTCCACACCTCACAGTAATAATTGTTACAGAAACTAATTAGACACAAATAGAGGGGTTTCAAAAGATCTTGCTTATTTCAGGCCTAAGAAAAACATATACAGGTAACTTGCAATAAACAGTAAGTAGGTGGGTAACTGTGTCTAATGAACAATTCAACGCCACACTACTACGAATTACTTGAATAACTATTTCACGTGTTGGTTATAACATTTATCGAAGAAGGCTTTAGGCTATGGAACATCGCTCTGTGACTTATACAAGCGAAGATACAGCGAGAAAGCCTTAGCGACCGTAGATACCAAAAAACTATATAGGCATTCAAGAATGATTCCTCTTTTAATGATCTAAAACAACGCCGCGACAGTATATGTATATCTTTTAAGTCGTGGGTAACACTTACTAACTAAAATTTATAAAGATTACAAGATTTGCAAAAACTAATTTGGACGCCCCAAAATAACTATTCTACGTTGTCAAAGTCGCTTACACTAGCCTTTTAATAAATATTCGTTCATTTTTGGCTTATGAGTGTACTCAAAGTGGCATCGCGTATTACAAACAATTCCTAATTATATATATATACTAGCGACCCGCCCCGGCTTCGCTCAGATGCAATGCCGATATTTAATGCACACGAAAAAAAAGCTATAAACATTATATATAAAAACCTCCTTTTGAATCACTATATCTATTTAAAAAAACGCATCAAAATTCGTGGCGTAGTTTTGAAGATTTATTTATGCGTACATACGGACAGAAAAAGCGACTTTGTTTTATACTATATAGTGATTCATGGTAATAACAATTTGCAAGCTAATACCTAATAGTGAGTATTATTAGCAATATATCAGCGATCGGAAGTAATAGCTTCTACCTAGCAGTCCCAATGTTGACTCAAGCCAACGTGTGGAGGATTTCGACAGAAAAAAGGCCGTTTGTTTTGAACATGAGAACGCTAATCTGTAGACAGCAGTATTAGTCCACTTCCGTTAAAAAAATTGCTAAGGATTATAGGGTGACAGAAAAGGCTAGTAACGGTTAAGCGTAAGTAGTAGAAGTTGAATTTATGGCTAATAATCAACGGTTCCGGAGTTCGGACCCTATCGAGTTCAACATACCTAAGTATTTCTATTTAAATAAAACACTTAAACGGTTTAAAATGCGATATATTAGTCAAACTTATTTGAAAATGATTTTTAACTTCGGCCCGAGGTTTCGGATGCTTTGCAGCAGCCGTGGTCACGGGGAGACGGTTTAAAAAATATACTACTTTTGACATTACGCTTCATTGCTTTAAACTCTAAAAAACAATTAGTCGTTATGAACGCAGACGAATGCCTAAGTTTTGAATCGTCGGGTTTCTACAGATACGTTTCAGATTATAGTAAGAAAACTGTGGTGTGCCGCGACTTTATCCTAGCACCATGGCCGTAGGGCTTAGATTACTAGGGAATGAATAATATTTTTCCTAATTAAGTTAATCTTTTGGCATAAGCATCCGATTAGTATTATCTATGCCTATTAGAATAAAAAACAAGTATGTGCGCAATGTCCGTCCGTCCTCCACAATTTTTTTTTATGGAGGACGCTAAGCACGAGGTTCACTTGAGGGTAAGTAAAATATCCAAGCCATATAGAATCTGAATAAGCTGCATTGTCGACCTATTAGGCCTTTGGATATTTGGAAGTCTTTCCAATTCGAATTCGAAACGCGATTAACCGGATGAGCGTTCCTGACCCAGAAGTAATTTTGATATTCATATATCCCATTTAATAATCAGATTTCTAGACAAAATCCAAAATGTTTCAGAAAATTTATAAATGGATCAACAGCCACAGCGCGTTGATTAAGAATTAGTCATACATTGCTACCGACAAGTTCGTAAATCTCTCTAGGAATATGTATTTTGTACAATTAATATTTATCAGATAAATTCCAGTTACCACTGCAACAATCTAGCTAGTAGTGAACACTATGTCCTGTGTATAATCATACTGCAAATGACTTTAGATGTCCTTGGTACGTGATTAAATAGTATTAACACTGATAAATCCAATATATGCCAATAGTAAACATGTTTTCAAAAAGGTAAAAGTCCAATTAATCGGACCGTCTAGGAAGGAAAACTGGTAATAAAACAAAATATTTAACTCATATACTAAATCTGTAATGCTGTTGATAGACCAAGGTTTCATTCTATCTAGCTGGTTTCAACTTCACCATTTCCTTTTTTAACTTTACCGATTCCTCTTTTACATTTTTACACTCAACTTGTAGATCTTCAAATTGACTCTGAAATGGTAAGCAAATGTAACAATAGTTCTAAATTACACACATCAAAATCAGATTATGATTTTATATTGTAACAAAATTCAATTTTTTTTAGTATCACAGTGGTTGTTTATTAATTTTTAATGTTAAATTTATATTGTCCCAAAGAAAATAAGGTTACCTCTAATCATTATTTTTGGTTTCACTTGATTAAAATCATAATACTAGCAACCCTTTGTCCATCTTCTTGTGATTAAATCAGAATGATGCAAAATACAAGTAACGAAGTAGGATTGTCTTTTTAAATTAAATTTTCTTTATTTATGTTACCTGACAAATAGCAGTTTGTTGTTTCATTGCGAGGCAGCTGTCCATAATTTCCTTGAACCGTTCCCTTTCTGCATCATATTTTTTCTGCATTTCACTCAGAAGAGAATCCAATCGGTTCTTATATTCTGTAACAACTGTATAATTTGTTTAGTCACAATAGCAGATTTATATGTAAAGAAAAATGGCTTCTTACCATTCAATTGATATTTCAATGAATCTAACTCAGATATGCATCGTTTATGTCTGGATACATCACTTTCAGTTTGTATATAACTATAAAAATACAGGTACATTCCAATAACAAATAATACTGCTAGTAAAATTAAGCTGGCTGACTGTCGTATGGATCGAAACATTTTTCTAGCCGAGAAAAATCCAATTCTTATATTAAACTTTTATTTGATCACACATTAGAGTGCACATTCGTGCATGGTCCAATTAAACGATTGATAAAAACTCTTGTTAAATTTGGCATTGTAATATTTTTCTTTATTCATTAATTATAGTTTATTCATTAACTTGCTGTCTTTTCTTCTAATTTATTTAGGTTTGATTTTATTGTACTGTTAGTAATTGGCATAGTTTCGTGTCGGTTTTCACAACTGCATTTTCAAACGGCTTACTCCGATATTTAAAATGTTAATTCAAAATAAAATTTCACATAACATGTTTAAATACACATATTACATGTATTTCGTACTTTGTATAAGCAATGTTTAATATTTATCAAAGTCACAGATTCAATTGTGACCCACAGATTAAATGCAAGCTTGATCTGTTGACATAGTTTATATATACAATAGGTTTTAATGTAATATTTATTGTAAACTTTTACAATATTAATGAAAATATCTAAATTACCACTTTAGATGACTGTCCAATATTCAATATCTTCTGTTATACGATAGCCTGTATACAATAGATTACAATGCAAGTTTTACATTTGTTATGCCTCGTCTACATCTGCGCTTGTGCTCGGCGAGTATGCAAACATAAAGATGTTCGTTCGTTCCACATTATAGCTATATTTATGTGTGTAGCGCCGTGGGACAAGATAAGCCCTAATATTATTGATGATTATTTTCAAATAATATATACTCAGCAGATCCATAAAAAATTATCGATTTTTAACTAAAAGTATATTACATCCATGTCAGTCTAAGCTAATAAACCTTGAAAATATGAAATATATTTCGAAGATATTTAATAATTTGACTCTAATAAAATCAATGTAAATGTCAACACGCAGTCAATTACTATAAAGATTTATGTCTTTATAGTCTATGCATTATATTAAATTATAAAAGACAACAAATAAATATAGATAAATAATTTATAAACCAATGGCTTAAGAAGAATGTCTGTTTTTATACTACTACATAATTTAATTAAACGTCCGATTGAAAACTTTAATATTTTTCACATCTTGTATGTAAATTAATCTGCAAAGCATAAGTCATTGAACCTCAAGTGTTAATGTTGAAATTTAATTGCGCGAGAGGCGCATGTATCAATAGTTCGAAAAAAATCGACGATGACGTGTAGAACTCGGTAGCTCAATAGGTTAGAGCAACAACACGGAATGCTAAGGATACCGGTTCAAGTCCTGTGCGAGTCGTAATTTTTTAAATTTATAATCGATTTTTAAATAAACGTCCTATTTTATAAACGTATATATGTACATAATGTGTTCTGAATATGGTTGTAGTTGACCATCTAGACACATGTTCATCGCAGCAATTGCGTTGATTATGCTATTGCAATTCCTTGATACACAACGTGACGAATTGCTTTGGTGCATGTCTGCAAAAGCGTCGGCTAGACGATACGAGACGTTCAAGAGCGATTTGGGTACGAGCAAGTCGCGAACGACATTTATCGTCTGCGCTCGGCGATAATGTAGAAGGCCCTTTATATTTATCTAAGTTGGTCGTCTGTACTCTGTAGTCTGCACTCTGGTACAGACTACAGAGTAGAGTGGGCGATTATGAATGATCGGCATAATCGATTTATTTTGTATTATTAATGTTGGTAATCGATTATGGGATTAGTAACTAATTTGTTTTCATAATCGAATGATGTTACTAATTAGTAATACTAATCGTGCACTCCTTGAATTTAGTTGTTTAAACAATAATAAATACTTTTATATACTGGTGTAGTTTGTTTTGTTTACTACGATATTGTGAGACGTGTCGCTTTTTACCTTTTAGTGGATTTATCGTATATAAAACTACGTTGACCGACCTCTTTTAATTCTGTCTAAATAAATTCGTTGTAAATATGACTTTTAGTTTTAAATAACCTTTTAATAAATAAATGTTCATTTCCTTCATGTATTACTTGACAATTTTGTATTTAAAAAAAATTCTAAACAAATATTTAAATAACCTATGAAACTTTGTATTTAATCCAAGAAATATTGTTAATCATTAATCGTTTTATTTTAGACTGACTGATTTCTGAAATTGCCTAAAATAGAATATGCTCGTAATAAAAAAATAAAAGGGTCACATCCTACATTATACTAAACGTGAAAGCGAGCGAGAAGCCATAGTGTGTTGTCCTAACTTAGAAGTATTAGTAACTACTAATTAACCTTCTCTATTGTAACTACTATCATTTCATAATCGAATAATTTCATTAGTATATCTCATAATCGACCCACCTCTTTTTACTAGTATTAGTAATTACTAACATTTCATTCGAATGATTTCATTAGTATATCTCATAATCGTCGAGTACATATTAGTAACTACTAACCGCTATAATCGAGATATCTCGAGACATTTTCATAATCGAACGATTTCGTTAGTATATCTCATAATCGCCCGCCTCTAGTCTGTACTCTTTGCTCGTACTGTTTCGGTTTTCACATTTTGTGCTTGTGTTGACTTGACTGCTGCTCTGCGTGACAACTTAATTACGACTTTATATTATTTTTATTATATTTTTAATAACGCCAAAAGTTTGGTGTTTGTTCTAATTAAGTTTTTCCCAGTATAACATCAAAGATAATGTAAAAGTAATGTTTTCTGTGCAACGTAATAAAAAATACGGATCTTGTGACTAAAATTCTGTTATCCGAAAGTTGCAACCTGTTTAAGTTTAATTTTATTTAACAGTCCCAGTGAAAGTTAGCGTCCCTAACTACTTTAGCTGACATCCTCATCTATATTACTTTCAATTGGGTAAGTTGAATCTTCATTTATCGAAGATATTGTAACTCAATATTTGCTCTGGCATGCTGTTGACTGTGTATACGTATTATTAAAAAAATATATATGTGTAAATGTGAAGTTACGATTACAACTGTGAAGTCTCGCTGGTTAATTGTGTATTCATGAATAAATTGTGTCTTTTCTATGCCAACAGTCCACGTTTATATTATGTAGAACTCACTTCGCGATCTATTTGGACTTTGACACCTGTCTGGCGTGTGTGCGTACGCAAATGCGAATGTGTTGTGTATTTAAGAGTTTCTCTTACGGTGCATAGAACTTAATGTTTTAGCTTTAATCTTTGTACTGACGTTACGAATCTTCACTTGACTTGGTTATATATACCAATATATTTTATTATGTTATGGGAATACCAAATTGTGCGAGCCACATGGAGAACAGATCATTGTAAATAACAGAATTGGACCCCTGGTCTAGATTTTAGTTCAAACAATACATATGTCTGTTGCAGTAAAACGGTAGGATGGCAGAAGCTCATTCAGCTGTAGCATTCTCCTTTGCAATCACCCACGATGGTTGGGATGTGAACTTTGACCGTGAAGTACTCTACCTGGTTTGGGAATCTGGGTTAAGATCGTGGAAGAAGCGCCTCGCCAGATTCAGGGTAAGATACCTTAAATTGATGTTGGTCCCTGTTTTCCTACAGAGAGGAAGACGTTACTGTGTTTGTTTCACAAGTTTTATCAACATGTCAATTTCCAACCAAGATCTCTGCCAGTCCCAGAAATCACTTATCATAAAAGCTGTACGTACCATCATGCACCATGTCTAGTTTTATTTACAGAACAGCATACACAATGGTGTCTATCCAGGTCATCTGCAGTCCTTATATGTACTTTGGACATTACTGGTTGCTGCCCATTTTGGAGGGTTCACTATACCCTTCGGTCTGGTACAGAAAACTTTAACTGTTTTACCAGGGTATGCACCTTTATTCGAATCTTATTTATGTAGAAAAATATTTCACGATTTTGTATAAAAAAAGATTTTATTAATACTATTATATCTCTTGACTCTTTATAATATTTGACAATACATAAAGTGTGATACCTACTTAGATTTGGTTATATTGGCCTATAAAACATGATTTGTGTCAAACTTTTTATCACTTCAATATATCGAACTACCCAATTCAACAATACACTTGTTCGATATTGTTATATCACAGTTGAACTGTATTAAACATCCCTTTAAAAGTATTTATTGTCGAATTAAGTTGGAAGTGTCAATTGTAAAATTGTTTTTAGGGATTCTACAATGTGGCAAGTTACAGCGTGCCTCTTAGCAGCGCTAACAATGTGGCTGTCTGTAATATTTCTGATGAGATACATATTCAAACTACTCCTCATGTACAAGGTATGTAGAATCTATATTTTTATATTCATAAAATCTAAAATGAACTGGTCAATATATATTCCTTTCGTAAAGTATAGAAATATTTAGGTGTATGACTGGATTGAACATCCTATCCTTACGGATAAAAATTGTCTGTAAATGAAAAGAGACAATTGTGGCTCTCGAACAACAATTAAACTTGATAATAATAATTAATTTTGTGCTACTTTCTTTTTAATTCTTATCTTTATAGTAAATTTGGTGCATACATTTTGTAATTTCAATGTCGTTACTAAGTTAATTATTGTTAGTCTGCAGTTCATTATGTATTTTAAACGCAGTGTCTGTGGTCGACGCGAGTATTACACATTTAAATAAATCATTTTTAACGGTTCAGAACGCAAAATATATAAGTCACGAAACCTCGGGCTATAGTTATTTAAAAATCCAATATTTCGCGTTTCAAACCGTTAAAAGTTTTTTATTTAAATTTTGTATTTTTTGCTGACAAATTCAAAATAAGCCTTTAACGATGCAGTTAAGCTGGGCCCGGTTATCATGCCATAAGTTTGGTGGGTTTGAATGTTTAAACCTTCGTATGAGAGAGGACTGGTCAGCGGTAGAAAAATAATAGGTGGAAACATATCAAAGCGTTTATCCTTATCGCATTAGACCGTGACTTCGGTCAATTATGTTGATAAAAATCAAATTAATTGCGATGCCAATAAAATGTTGATACGCGAGCTCCATTTTGTGATACGGGGATGTGTTTTATCGTCGCCCAGTAGTACAAAATACAAAGGTTAATAAGAAAACAAATCCTTTCCGCAATCAGATATGTATCGGTGTCATAATTTATATGCGTTTATACCGTACAATATTAATTGTTATCTGTATACATTGTAAAAAAAATTATACGAATTACTTTTTACAATATTATCTTGCTTTCTATATAATTTGTGTATTAATATGATTATGTCTCTTAGATTTTTTTATTATTTAAGCAACGACTATGTACGTAAATTAGAATTAATTAAAGAAATACATTACAGTTATATATTGTCAGTTTGAACAATTTAGTGTGCAATGGGAAACCGCTACGATTTCTTGAATTAATGAGAAGTACACAGTTAAGTTTTAATGAATGACGTTTATGGTCACACTATGGTACTTTTCTCAAATAATGCGCGGAAATCAAAACTAAGTACAATTTAGAACTTAATTAATGACGTTGACGAACAGCCATTGACAATCGTTTTTTACGCGCCAGTGTTTTTTTTTTCACTAAACCGCTGTCTATGCGCAGGCCAGTCCGAAATTTGAATTAAACCTTTGATAATTTACCTTCTTGGTAGCGATGTTGCGAATTAGAAGACTGTTCCATTTCTAAATTTCACGATAGATATCATTTTACATAGTAACTTAATTGGTCGCTAAACACGATAGATATGTATTTCCATACAACTATTGCCGGCCCCTGCTCGAAAAGTACAGCAAGTTCGATTTATCTCGAAGAAGATTGTCGAAATAATGCTTAAATTTCCAAGCATGTTTGAGAAAATTTTGTTAACTACAATAAGCAATATGTAAACGTTTTATTGTTTAGCTTATTCAGTATGTATTATATATATTTTATCTTAGCTAGAAGCTGGGAGACATCCGGCCGATAACATATTCCGAACCGCATGTCAATCCATGGAAAAGATATCATGTTACGCAGTGTAACATTTCTTGAAATTTTCTCCACAGCCTTTTATAATGTTTACGTTTGTTTGACTAAGTGTATCTTTTAGGGATGGATGTACGAATCCCGCTCGCCGGGCACAAAACTATCAAAGAAAACTGTGCTCTGGGCCACGATAGTCAAAGTTCTCTCTGGATGGAATAAGCCGAGGCTTTATAGCTTCCAAGGTTCACTACCGCGGCTGCCTTTACCCTCTGTCAATGATACTATGAAAAGGGTAATTTATCAATTTAAATATATGCAAAACAATTAATACCTTGTGTTTACAGACACAAAAAAGAATTTAATTGAATCGACAACTCTTCTAATATTATGAACGATCAAATTATTAAGCTTCTGTCTCTAGTTTTGGCGAAGTTGTATAATACATTTAAATAAAACACTTTTAACGATTTAAAACGCAGAATGTATTAGTTAAACTTATTTCCAAATGGTCTCCCGTGACCAGGGCTGCTGGAAACATCATTTATACATCGTCAGCATTCCGTGCTGTTGCCAATTGAGCTACCGAATCATTATACGAGATCATTTATACAAATAAATTTAAGTAATACATTTCGCTTTTTAAACCATTAAAAATGATTTATTTATATTCAGCTTAAGCCTTAAACATACAACAAACCAGACTCCCTATCAGTAATGTTACTGTTAACCAAACAATTGCATAACACAAATATTTGTGAGAGAGAATCATTATATCACTTGTTTGGACTGCCTCATTAGTTAAACATATTGTCTAGCGTTACATTAACTATGAGAGAGGTCTTGAGTTCGAACACCGTCGAAATTGTAAAGGTCAGTCAGGGCACAAGAGTCTGATCCAAGACTTCTAATTAAATCTATCAGCGAAAGGAAGATACAAGTCTGCCCGAAGCCCCACAGGGACAAACGAGATTTTAACTTGAAAACTTTGTTTTAGTACCTATTGAGCGTTCGCCCCCTACTTGATGATGAAAACTATAAGAGAGTGGAGAGGCTCGCCAAGGAGTTTGAGACAACGATTGCTGTCAAACTCCAGAGATACCTTGTTCTGAAATCATGGTAAATATATTAGTGTATGTTGTATTTAACCTGTATATAGTTAAAAACGAATTGAAAAAAAAATTACGACTCGGGCAGGACTCGAACCGGCGTCCACAGCGTTACGTATAGTTATTAGTTTTCTTTAAGCAATGTAAGTTTGATAACGGGTTGTAGGTTCTTAATAAATAAAAAAAAGATCCAACACGTTTCTAAATAATTTACAAATTATCTGGAAATCTGGGTATGACTACATGGTACATGGTCACGAACCACTCCACGGATAAAAAAGTTCGGTTTCCAACTGTGGATTTCCGAATATCCAAAGCGAAAATAGGTCGATAACGCATCTTGTTTAGATGCTATATGGCTGGGGTATTTTACCCTCCGTCAAGTGACGTCCTATCTTAAAAATCTATCCATAAAAAATCAGTTGTAACCATGTAGGAAGTTACTTATATCACCTGTATTCCCATTATAGATGGTACTCCTAGCATCGTCTCCCTGCTTCAATTTAAACTAATCGAGTAATTGACGTGAACAACACGTGTAGCTGAGCGGAAGGTCTTTACAAGCTTTCCGATCTATATAAACGCAATAAAAGTGGGTTAGGACCCCGTAAGGAATGAATCGGGCCCTCATTCCCACTTACCTCGTGGCTTGAACTATTTTGGACGACAAAATTCAGTTTCAACTTATCTTTACCGTGCAGCGCACGCCACGGAAGCCCTCAAAGTTGAATAATTTTCCGTTTCTTTTCCTGCTTCTTCGCTTCGTAGCGTGATGTTTTATAGCCTTACCTTAATAAATGGTTCATCCAACACACAATATTTTCAATTCGCACCAGTAGACCGTGAGATTAGCGCGTTTAAACAGACACACAAGCAAAAATACTCTTTATAGTTATTCGTTTAGATTTAGCGCGTTTAAACGTTTTATCTTTATTACTAGGTGCAATAATTTTTATAAGCACGTCACCTTTCCGTCTACCTTATACAATTTTATCAATAAGAAACACACAATATCATTGTCCTATAATATAACTGCTACTCTATTTATCAGCGAAAGCCTTTGTGATTGACACAAATTGTTTGTTTAGTCTGCATAGATATTTTTTTGTTTTATTGCGATGCTAATGTTAAAGGGTTATCTTACACGTGTTATCAGGAATCATTAAGATACAATAGTACGCTATACATGTCTGTGGTAAACTTTTAACACCGGGGGTTGATAATATGAAAAATATATATTATTAACGTATCTAGGTACTATTATTAATTATTTTTAGACTAAAAGGATTCAGAAATATATAACTTAAATACTGTCTATAGTTTACGCAAGTAGTACACATTTAAATAAAACACGTTAACGGTTTATAAGGCGATATGTTAAACTTATTTGAATATGATTTTTAACTTCGGCCCGATGTCTCGACGTTCGACGTCAGTCTTCCCGTGACCACGGCTGCTGCAAAGCATCCGAAACGTCGGGCCGAAGTTAAAAATCATTTTCAAATAAGTTTAACTAATATATTGGGTTTTAAACCGTTAAAGTGTTTTATTTAAATATATAACTTGTAAAAAATTCAACTCTATCCTCGTTTTATGAGATATAATCTGTGACAGACCGACTGCGAACTTTTCGGTACAGGGCTAAACTTTTAAAATTTACGAATTCTAAAAAATTTGTGCATTGAGTTAGGAAGACCCTCAATAAATATACATAGATAACAGTGGATGTGAACGATTATTTTTCCTCAGTGTTACATCCTAGAAGGCCATTTTCATTGTGGCCGATGTGTCATATTTGAATACATATACGAAGCAGGTAGTTCGACCTACCTAGTACTTACTACGCGGACATCACAGATTGCTTCCTAGTATTTATTGATTCCAATAAGTTTTTATGATAACACAGACAAACATAGGTTCACATGATAGACGATATTATAACGTCTTAACATATGCTATCGACCTATGTTGGCTTTAGATTATTATTTTTTTATATATGCAGCCTGGTCGTGACCCGGTAATATTTGTCTAACATACGAGTATTACAGAATGTTTTTAGAAACTTGATGGATTTGCAATTAATACCGTTTATGAGAAATTAGGAATTTGTTTATAAACGACTTCGGCTGTGTTTACATATCAGGTGAGCAAGAAGCAAACGCGTTTTTCATAATTAAAAAAATCTCACAAAACCTTTGTACTTTGTACGAACAAACTATCGTTATATCTTGGTGCCGAAATGCTATCCAAGGTCTAGTTTCAATTATCAATTTTTATATATTTGCTAACTAGGTGTATTAAAAAATTAATAATCATTACATAAATCTGATATTATCATCGTTTATACATCCGAAGGTTGTTTCTCACGAAGCGGAAATATGAGATCGTTTTATTTCTATATTGTTTGTATATGATATGGATATAATTTTGTTATGTCTTTATTATAACTAGCTGAGCCCGCGACTTTGTTGTTTGCAAACAACCTCCTCAGCTTTATAAACCATAGATGTTATCTACGTTCGCGTCCCGTCAGTCTTGCAAGTTTAAAAGATAGACATATATTGTCGCAAACATTTTTTAAATCAGCAGCGTGATGTTTTATAGCCTTAAAGCCTTTCTCGATAAGTGCTCTAAATAACACAAAAATATTTTTGAATTCGATCCAGTAGTTATTGAGATTAACGCGTTCAAACAAACAAAATATGAAACGGAACACAAGCGTTCGGTATTTGAGCTGTCAAAGATTACCAAAATTAATACTTAAAAAATCCCTCTCGCAGCTTCTTCAGGTCCCTGGAGATCATTCTTATATCAATGACATAATAAGATTTCCCAAAAATTTTTGAAATTAGCTGTTTAAAAAAATGTTCTCGCAAACCTCCTGTTTACCTTTATATGTTTAAGGTGTTGCCCGCGACGTCAGACGCGTCATATCGTTAATCAAAATTAAAATTAAATAAAGCAAGTTAATTTTAAAAGATAGACATATAGTACCCGGATATAATACCCTTCTTTCATATATACTTTTTGGGTATCTTGAACCGCAGCGTAGGGAACGGACAAAGATTCCTCGATAAATGCTCTAACCAATACAAAAATAATTTTTCAATTCCCACCAGTAGTTTCTGAGATTAGCGTGTTAAAACACAAAAAACTCTTCAGCTTTCAATATCAGTATAGGTTTGATATGAAACTAAATTACCTATCACTTTCTAGCGAAAGGAAGTCTAGAAAGACTTTTACATTAACGAGCGTTTTATGACAGGTGGTCAAGCAACTACGTGTCTGACTGGTGGGAGGAATATGTCTACCTGCGCGGGCGTTCCCCTCTCATGGTGAACTCGAACTTCTATGGAACAGACACATTACTGCGTCCTACTTCAGTGCAAGCGGCAAGGGCGGGAACAATTATACACTTCTGCCTTAGATTCAGAAGACTTATCGAGAGGCAAGAATTGGAACCGGTAAGTTATTTTTTTAATGGTACTAAAAAAAATTACTACTGTTTCTCTTGTAATAAATCTGAGGCGAGAGTGATGTGAAGGACACGGTAGCTCAATTGCTTAGAGTAGCTCGGATTGCTGTGAATACCGGTTCAAGTCCTGTGCGTGTCGTAAATTTTTTCATTCCTTTTTGAAGGGCTCGTTGGATCGTCGAAATTCCGTCAGGATGACGAACCGCCGTCCACAAATTAAAAAGCCGTCAAGTTGAATCGCGTTTCGGTTTCAGGTTGTGGATTTCCAAATTTCTAAAGCGAAAACAGGTCGAGAGCGCATCTGAGATGTTATATGGGTGGGGTATGATACTGTCTATAGTTTACGCGAGTAGTACACATGTAAATAAAACACTTTAACGGTTTAAAACGCGATGTATTAGTTAAACTTATTTGAAAATGATTTTTAACTTCGGCTCGACGTTTCGGATGCTTTGCAGCAGCCGTGGTCACGGGGAGACTAAAGATGGAGGATGTCTCTGACGTCAAAGTAAAAAATTGCTACGCTAGCGCCATCTGTTCCGTCGAAGTCGGTATTTGGCAAAACTGGCCGGGTCCTTGCAGAATTTACTAACGGTGTCTTCGCGTTTGCCGGTATGCTGTTTATTGGGATCCAGAGAGAGAAAGCATCCGAAACGTCGGGCCGAAGTTAAAAATCATTTTCAAATAAGTTTAACTAATATATCGCGTTTTAAACCGTTAAAGTGTTTTATTTAAATGGGTGGGGTATTTTCATAAACTCTATCATAGAAAAATCTAAATAGATTTTTCATTTATGTTTTAATTTCTCCATTTAAATGACTACCGTATTATACAAGGTGTGATCTATATGAACTTTAATTTTCAGATTATGTTACAAAACATGGTGCCGCTCTGCTCTTGGCAATATGAAAGGTTGTTCAACACTGTACGTGTTCCCGGTGTAGAGACAGACAAGATAGTTCATTATCAGGACTCTACCCACATCACCGTCTACCACAAGGGGAAATACTTCAAGGTCATCGTGTATTCTAGAGGTCGTCTCCTCAATCCAGCTGAAATACAAATGTGAGTTTGATGTCTTCGATATATAAACACAAGGTAACTAAGCTACAGATTAGAGTGGCAGCGCAGAACTGGTTCGAAACCTGCCTATGTAATAATTAGACAATCTGTGACCTTTACATATGATATGGCTATATGCAAAGTTTCATCAAAATCGTCCCAGTAGTTTAGGCACAGGAATTATGTTTAGTTATAACAAATAACATCAGATTATATCTAGAGACACTTAAGAACGAAAATCATTGACAACTGAACACAACTATTAATTTTGTATGCAACGATGAAGTTATATAGATCTGTTTTTGACTTAGAAGAATAGTTTTATTACAGTAACTTGTTACTTTCATAGCTAAAAGCCTTCCTCGATGCTTTAATTAACGCAATAAGATTTTTTTAATTCGAACTAATAGTTCTTGAGATTGGCACGTTTAAACAAACAAACTCTTCAGCTTTATAATATTAGTATAGATGGTTTTAAATATTGTCTATAGATTTTAATAAAACACTTAACGGTTTAAAACGCTATATATTAGTTAAACTTATTTGAAAATGTTTTTTGTCTTACCGGTTCCAAATCATTTTCAAATAAGTTTAACTAGTATATCGCGTTTTAAACCGTTAGTGTTTTATTTAAATAGATGGTTTTATGATACATATCTTTGGATTCTTTTGTTATAGGACGATCTGATTTTGAACTAGAGGCAGAGTAGCCTAACTGCAATTTTATGAACCGACTTATTTATATTTTCATAGTCTAAAAATGTTAATCTACAAGAGCGCATAATTCTTACACGAATAATAGTATTTTCGCCTAAGTTTGCACATTTTATTTTCCTCCATATTAAAAATCATGTTTTATGTATTAGGCCACTCTGCCTCTAGCAGCCTACTTTAAAATCATGGTTTTTACATCAGTTCACACTCGCTAAGCTGGTTTAGTATTTTTTTTTTATATTTACAGTCAAATTCAGCAAATATTAGACGACAAATCGGAACCGGTGATCGGCGAAGAGCGAGTAGCGGCACTAACGGCCGGTGAACGCTCGCACTGGGCCCACATCCGTCAGACGGACTTCAACCGTGGTCATAACAGGACTTCGCTGCACTGTATCGAACGCGCCGCCTTCAACGTGTGTTTGGGTTAGTTAGATGCATTATACTTGCGAATTTTAATATCCAAAGCAGGTCCAAAGTAGCGCATCTTATTTATGGCTCTGGTATTTCACCCCCCTATAAGTGAATCATATGCTTGTCTGTCCTCTAACATTAAAAAAAATATATATAATAAGAATTAGTCCTAGTCCATCTTTGAATAAAACACGTTTAACGGTTAAAAACGCAAAATCGTACTAAACTTCAGTCTACCCCGTGGCTACGGCTGCTAGGTATATATTTGGAGTTTTAAACCGAAAAACGTGTTTCATTTAATTTACTTCTCGTGTGAACTACAGACAGTACCTAATAAACCGTGATATAAATGTTCACTTAATTAATCATGATGATTAATTGAGTATTGTACAGTTTACACGCATGAAACATTCATATAAAACACTTTAAACGGTCCGAAACGCGAATTATAGTAATAAATAGAATTTTCGACCTTTCTGCAGCCTTGTCTCCCCTCTCCGTGTCCTATAAATAAATATATATATATATATATATATTTAACTAAAACACTTTAACGGTTTAAAACGCGATATATTAGTTAAACTTATTTGACAATTATTTTTAACTTCGGCCCGACGTTTCGGATGCTTTGCTTTTTTGTTTTTTTTTATATCTTTTATTTAAATGTGTACTACTCGCGTAAACCATATATATATGGTTAATAATTTAAAATTAATTGTGCCATAAGTTGATACATTTTTATGGTTTTCAACCGCAGATGATAACGAGTATGGTTTCAACGAAGATGACCCATCAACCCTGAATGAATATGCACACATTTTATTACATGGTAAAGGCCACGATCGTTGGTTCGATAAGTCTTTCAACCTTTGCTTCAGTACAAGCGGCGCTGTAAGTATTATCTTAATTAAAACGTCGGGAGTCGAACCCACTGATTTGGTTGAACAATTATGGCGGGCTCGTCGGTGTAAAGGTAAAAATTAAAAGCCCGTTTCCCCCTCGCGGGGCATGGGGCGAACGCATTTCCGTGTCCGCTTCATTGATCCGTTCTTTTAACGGGCAAGTAGTTGATCAGACTTCTGTGCCCTGCCCGACCGAAACAATTTTTTATTTCCCTGGGATTCGAACCCAGGGCCTCTCGCGCTTAACGCAATGCTAGGCAATACGTGTAACGATTTAGCTACAGAGGCGGTGTAAAGCGATGTATGAACTGATCGACGGATCGTGGGTTTGACTCCCACCGCGTTCAACGTTTTTCTAATCAATTTATATTTTTTATACATGTTGATAAGGAATATTGAAACTCCGTCCGGGTCACGAACTACCGTCCATCCATCATTTTCAAAATTCCAGTCAAAAGGGTCGACAACGCATCGTGTTTAGATTTTATATAGCAGGTTTCACGTACCATCAAGTGTAGTACCTAGACATCGTGCTTGTCTGTCCTCTCTAATAATTTTAAATTTGTTTACATCTGTTTTGTTTTTTTTGTATTGAACTATAATATATTTTTATTTGTTTCTAGGTTGGATTCAATGCTGAACACACTTGGTAAGTTAATTCACTATTAACGTCTTTCCTTTTTTATTAAAAAAATAAATAAAACCCTGTTTCTCCCCGTGGGGTATGGGGAACATATTTCAGCAAATTGATCAGACTTCTGTGTCGTGTCTGACCGGAACAATCTATTGTTTCCCGGGATTCGAACCCAGATTCTCTCATCATTTGGCTAAATATTTTTCTAATGACGAGTAGTACACATTTAAATAAAACACTTTAACGGTTTAAAACACGATATATTAGTTAAACTTATTTGAATATGATTTTTAACTTCGGCCCGACGTTTCGGATGCTTTCCAGCAGCCGCGGTCACGGGGAGACGAAGTTACAAATCATTTTCAAATAAGTTTAATTAATATATAGTGTTTTATTTAAATATAACAGTTTTTCTCATCTCTATGCCATCTTATTAGATTGATATTTGTAGTCTCATTAATGTTTCGAGACGTCGGGCCAAATGTTAATAGACTAACAAACAGGCCGATCCCATGTAATTCGAAACCATGACCCGTTAGGATTGCACAAATAATTTTCAACTTCGTTATAAGTATTGTCAGTGAATAAGTAAAGAACAACTAAGATATTTTGCGTTCTAAACAGTTAAAAGTGTTTTATTTAAGTACGTTAGATTTTAACTTATTACCTTTTTATATTATCTATAGGGCAGATGCGCCTGTTATGGGACACCTCTGGGAGTATGTTATTCTAACCGAGCTAACATGGGGGTAAGTAAGTTATCTTTAGGGTATAATAAGACAAACAGACAGACAGACAGACACATAACATAGTTCTAAACAAGAGTAACTTATTTTTTTATACAAGTTGTGTTTATAATAATGTTAATATTAGTGTACATAAGCACATTCTTTTAAACGCATGCCAGACATATTTCTGTACCCGTTTCACAGATCATTTATAGAATAGGCAATAAGTCTGTTGTGCATTCTCTAAGCGAAGAGCATTAGATACGATCTATTGACTATTAGCAAGACAATGCTACCAATTAGTCCGTAGAGGGGACTTGGCTTTCGTGTTTTATATAGGCATTTGACAACCAACCCCCTTGTGTCGGGTCATAGCTAGGTAAAAGACACTTAAATAATAACGCTATTAAATTTAATTAACATACTTTAACGGTTTAAGACGCGATAGATATTAGTTAAACTTATTTAAAAATTATATCAACTTCGGCTCGACGTGGGCACGAGAAGACACGTGACCACAGCTGCCGCGACGCACCCGAAACGTCGGGCCGTAGTGGAAATAATTTTCAAATAAGTTTAACTAATATATATCGCGTTTTAAACCGTTAAAGTGTTTTATTTAAATGTCTACGACTCTCGTAAACTACAGAATTTAACGCTATTAAATATTTTTCAGATATTTACAAGATGGAAACGCTAGAGGGGCAGTTGAGGCGCCGCCGCCCGCCCCTACTCGTCTCCAGTGGGACCTCGATAACGAGGATCTACTGAAAAACATCGACACCTCATACAACGTCGCGCAGAAACTACTCAACGACGTCGATCTTAGGATTATGATGTTCACCAAATACGGGAAAGGTTTTTATCATTCATATATATCGTATTTTATTTCTAGTATTAATAAAAAGACTGTATCTTACAACTAGAATTTCATTTCTTCTAATACACGCGAAAGTTTGTATGTTTGGATGGATGTTTGGCAAAAACTGAATGAATTTCAATTAAACTTTCCAATTATATAGCTTTTACATCAGAATAACACATACAATTTATAAAGATATTAATATATACATTTAATTTTCCAACTCGAACCAGTAGTTACATAGATTAGAGTAAATACTTTCCCATTTAAACAGGATTTATGAAAAGCCTCCGCGTCTCACCCGACGCGTTCATCCAAATGGTGCTACAGTTGGCGTACTACCGTGATGCCGGGCACTTTTGCCTGACGTACGAGGCATCTATGACCCGTCTGTTCAGAGAGGGCCGTACGGAGACCGTTAGATCTTGTACTATTGAGAGCTGCCAATGGGCGAAGGCGATGGAAGATCCTAACGCTTCGGTAAGTTGTTTTTTTTTATCATAGTGAAGGACCCCCCAGCCATATAACATCTGCACAAGATGCGATGATGGCCTATTTTGGCTTTGGATATTCGGAAATCCACAGACTGAAACCGAAGCGCCATCTTGTGAAAAGTATTAAAGTTTTCATACCACCATAATTGAATGATTTTTAATTTGACTACAAATCACGGGGTCCACGCTCCGAATAACGGGTGTGCAAAATTTAGTGCTTTTTAACTTTCCTAAGAAAATATCCTCCTACTCGTCCAGCCCAAAATTTTAAACTAGTAAGACCCACCCTCACGTTTCTCACAAACGAAGTTAACAAGTTGCTACTGGTTATATGTCGTATCTAATTTATCTTAAGCATAAGGAGTCCCATGTGAAGCATAAGAGCTTCCAAAAGACAGAGCATCAGCCCCCAGGTCCCATCATTACAGTATTATCTTTCAGGTGGTGGACAAGTTAGAACTGTTCCTGAAAGCGAGTGAACGACACAAGATCGGCTGTCATGACGCGATGACGGGGCGTGGGATCGATCGTCACTTGTTCTGCCTGTACGTGGTTTCCAAGTATTTAGAACTGGATTCACCGTTTCTTCAGGAGGTGTTCAATGAACCTTGGAGGCTGTCCACCAGTCAGACACCATATGGTAAGAAGTATACTGATTAATAATTTTGTAAGGACGAACGCTAAATAAAAAATATATTTAGATTGAAATACCCATGAGCGGGACTCGAACCAGCGACTTTGCTATCGCTCATACCATTTGAGCTATCGTGTCTCGAACGTCACCGAATTTCATTAACTCGATTTTATTATTAATAATGCCGTCATATGCACTTTGAAAATTTTAAAAATAAAGATTTCAAAGTGGACAGACAGTGTTTGGGTGACCCGAACGGAATTTCGATATTCCTACCCATTTAGTATCCAGATAATCAGAGTCCAACATGTTGCAGAGACTAGAAATGGATTCTAAAAATGTTGGACCCCGTGGGGATCGAACCCTCTAGTCGTAAACCATACTATGTTACCATTAGAAGAACGCGTTATAAATGAGAAATTCCTCATAAACTGGACACAAAAATGATCGGCGAGAATTCTCATTATACAGAATAACCTTATATGTTAAGTTAAATAAACACGTAAAAATATAATAATAATAGAATAAAAAAGTAGTCGATCTATATTCACGACTGCGCAATAGGTGTGCATTTCGGATTACCTCACGTTATGCATTTTAGACTTATTGTCTTAACCTTCGATAGCTCAGTTGGTAGAGCGGTGGACTGTAGCGTACATAGTAGTCATCCATAGGTCGCTGGTTCAAATCCGGCTCGAAGGAACTTTTTAAATTGTTTTTTTTAATTCGACCAGTTTCTGATTTTATCTAGATACATATTTCACAATTTGAAATATAAAAGTTTTTTTTTTTTAACTACAAACAAATCTAATTTCATATTTTTTTATTTAAACAAATGTTAATACACCACTGATGGAAAATTAGTTGTGTTCAATTCCGTTTATATATTTATTTTAGTACTTACAGTGGCTATTAGTACAAACTATTTGAAGGACTTAACAAAATAATTTAAATAAAACTACGGAACCTCTTGCGAGATCGAAATCTTCACTTGGCCGGTTTTTTAAATTAAATACTATGTTTTCAGGTCAGACGAGTCTCCTGGATTTGAAGAAGTATCCCAAGTGCGTTGGCGCCGGTGGTGGCTTCGGCCCAGTTGCTGATGATGGCTACGGCGTCTCCTACATCATCGTTGGGGAGGACATGCTATTCTTCCACGTGTCCAGCAAAAAGAGCTGCCCAATTACGGTATATTTTAATCCCTTATATGCTTAGTGGTTTTGATTACGTCATTTGTTAGGGGAACTAAATGAGAAATCCTGGGGTACGACAATGACAAGAGTTCTAGAGTCGACAGATAATAGTCTATAGATAATATAATATGTAGGTATGGAGTTGAAAAATATATGATTAGGACAATTAAAAACATCATGTTACATTTATGATTTTTTTACAAAAACCACATATATGAGATTTAATTAAATAATAATTTATTTATCAGTCCATTGATTCTTAAATCTAATCGGTGTAGCTTCGTGATAATTTGGTAGGCACTGGAATTGTGAAAAAATAAATTGATTATTTGATATGTAGTCAGCCATTGCAACTCAATGCACATATTTAGGCAACAGCCTAGTATTGCGTTATGCACTAAAGACCCGCAAATGTCGGAGAAACAAATTGTTTCAGCCGAGTATGGCACGAAAACGTACACAAAAATATGTTAGCCCTAAGTCTGTTCTCTCTCAAATGCTCATTTATTCAGCTTATATTGATATTTCCTAGCTCGCCCGGGATTCTTTAGTCGTAAGTGTTGAGGGAAAATTAAAGTATTTTTCCATTTTTAAATGTAGTACAGTTCATTAAGATTGACCTTTTGTACGATTATTTAGGAGCTTATCATCATCACTTCCACTAGATAGTTCTACATTTATATATATCTATAACGCCGCTAAAGAAAATATAAAATAATTTTCATCGAATTTTCAACGCAGTGCTCTTCGTCTAAATTCTAAACACAAGTTAAATTCTTTTTCGTTTTTTTTCAGAGCTCAAACAAGTTTGTCAAACAAATTGAAAAGTCGCTGATAGACGTCCAAGAGCTTTTCATTGAATACAAGAAAATAAAAAAAATTAAGTAAACATCACAAAAAACGTCGCCTACGAAAATACTACAATCTACTTTAACTGTGTTAAGATTAACCCGTTTGTTGTTGTTATATTGCTTGTTTTATATAATGATAGCTAGATATATTTAATTTTTATAATGTACTAAGTTACATAGGCAACTTTTATATTGTTTAAATTTTTAAATCAATTGAAATACTGCAACAAATCAATGCAAATTCTCTTTATTTTACAATTAAGAATGAAAGAATTGTTTATAAGCATTTACAATTTTTATTGATTAGGCTTTAATTTATACATTTTTGATGATTTTAACCGTTTGTGCCCTTTTTGTCAAAAATAATGCAAGATATCATATCGTTTGTAGATTTTAAAGTACATGGACCGTTTGGATAGCTTCCAACCGTCGGGTATTAAACCGTCCTAGATTTGAATATTTATAAGATGATTATTTTAAAAATCAATTTGTTGCTCTTATAGGCCTTGTGTGTTACTACGGTACAAAGGAGATAAAACTCACATTTTTCTAACTTTAACTTCTCGAACAACTATCTTTTTTTGTAGTAAATAAAATAACTGACCGGCGGTCCAAGCCGAGGCCGATGCCCCCCTCGGGGCACCCTTGGTCTAGCCGCAAACACGGCGAGCGCTATCGCGCTCACCCAAAACGCCCGGTTAGTATTCGTGGCTCCTTAGGAACACAATACGTAAGAATCCAATCAAAAAAAAAAAAAAACATAGTAATACCGCCTTGGCAATTTTATATTTCTATCTACTTATGTATACAGTAACATAAAACAAAATGCGTCATGTCTTTTCTAGTAGTAGTCAATAGTTTACAAAAAAATAAATTTTATAAAAAAACGAAATATTTTTTGATAAAATTTACTCAAATTTATATCAGATATATTTCAAAATAATCGATATTATTTCTACTGTTTGTTTTTTAATATTAACTTTTAAGAACAATGTATTACTTGTAAGAAATAACTATTTACATTTTAACAAAGGTCTATGGTGTAAGGTAACTTGGTAAGGGATTTAAGTAGCTTAGAAATATTTGGTTATCCATATTGTCTCGCTAAGAACCATACTCATCATACCCACCTTTATAGTATTTATACTTTGAAGTTTTTGTGCATTTTACAGTTTTAAGACTTCTTTCCTAAATACAAGTCTTACTCCTTTCTCTAATTGCTCAAATTATTTGCTAAATATATTTAAAAAAGGTACAAATTTTAAGAGATATAAGAATTTCAAATAATATTGTATAGCATATGTTTCATCGTTATGATTGTTACTAATTTTTATTTTAGAGTTCTCCTCATTTCAAATGTTAGTTTATAAATGACTACTTCTGTTAAAGTACTAGACAGGCATATTGAATTGTAATTTTATTATAGTTAGAAGAGTTTAAAATAAATAATTATGAAATTGACTTGTTTTTCATTAAAATATTTCTTGGGTATATGTGGACGGTAGAACGGATGTTTTCTCTAGTATTCTGATATAGAATAAATATCTTTAACTATAATCTCATAAATATCAATAAAATTAATTTTGTTAATTTATTCATTAATAGATGTGGTTGAAAATTATTTTAACTTAATTTACCAATAAACATTTTAGTATACTCTATGGTCCAAAAGTTGGATTCAATAAATTATACTAACAATGTACATCATAGTTTATATTCTGTGGAACATAAAAACATCCAAAAAATATTAAGTGACGGTGTCTTTTGTTAGAAAAGATACTAATTTAGCGCCTTGGTAACACTATGGGCTGTATAAGGCTACTAAATTAAATATTGTTCAAAATGGCGTCTATATAAAAAATGTCGTCCTGATTTTGAAACCAACATGCGATACAATTTTGTCGTATTTTACCACAGAAAATATTCTTGTCAATTATTCTACTGAGATAATCTGTGTTTATTGCTTAGTATTTGTCGTTTGAAATTTATCAAAACACAAGATAAAGATATTAAAAATGATTCACATTTAGTTTACGTGTTTATACTATAATTGCAGTCCATGAAAATTCGTTTCATAAGAAATCGCACAAAGTTACATTTATTGTTATTGCAAATTATACGCCAAAGCTATGAAGTTTTTGATCACTCTTAATATATCTTCCAAAACATGTTTTGTGGGCAGCTAAAAAAACCCTGAGATGTATCATATACTTCGTATAATATTATACAAATTGTGGCTGGTCGCTACTTTTATATTATTTTCTAGTATTCTAGTGTTCTGGTTCTATGGTCCTGCCATTGCTGCTCTTGTGTTCACCTTAGGAGTTACAGGTAACAAATAATTGCATAAAACCTTTAATTTTCTCAGCTATTGCTGATCCTCTTTGCTCAAACCACTCATTTGAATATACTTACTAAATTATAAACTTTTTCATACACTAACAAAAAAGGTAAAAAATCTTATGGTCTTTGATACATAATATGTTGTTATATTGTTATTTGAAAATCTAAAACTAAGTTATATGAGATATATAAACTAATTTTACTTCAAAAATCCTTTTCAATTATTTTTTTTATATATTTACAGGTGTTCTTTATAATGCTCAAGATCTATTGTTATATTACCCGAATGACCCACCTGACTCAAGGGCCTTTGTTTTACAACCTAGCAATTACAAGCTTCCCTATGAGAGTATTAAAATAAACACAAAGGATGGAATAAAGATACATATGTTTCTGATTAAACAACCAACGAATAGCAATCGTGTACCTACTATGTTGTTTTTCCATGGAAACGCTGGCAATATGGGACAGAGGTTTGGTCATAACTTTTTAATACATATTTAATAATTCAAATAGTTTAATACCCGTATAAAAACATTTTTGGGTACTGAGTTAATGATTTCTTTGTAGTGCTAATAAATTGTTTAGATATATAGACTATAGAATATTATCATAACTTTCAAATTAAAAAGTGAAAGTATGTTACGTTCCTTTCTCTTATTAAACAAAGCTATTACAATGTTTCAGACTAGCAAATGTATCCGGTTTCTTTCACAAGTTGAATATTAACATTCTGATGGTTGAATATCGAGGGTATGGCCTCTCCGAGGGTACTCCATCTGAACAAGGTTTATATATAGATGCCCAAACTGCCTTTGACTACATTACACAGAGGACAGATATTGATAGGAGCAAAATATTTTTATTTGGAAGGTCTTTAGGTAATTTAATGATTACTTTTTGTCTTATCCTCTAACCTCCTATATGAATAGGTCATAACCATATTGAAATCTCCTTACCTTTGTTTTATTTATTTTGGTGTGTGAAATTGTAACTGCTGTATGGTAATATTAGAAGAAAGGTGAATGACTGAATCTTAATAGTAATTGTATAGCTGATTAATATGTTATATAAAGTTAGTTCTGAATGTTTGGTTTGTAGGAGGAGCAGTAGCAATCGACCTTGCCTCTAGATTGGAGAACAGAAATAAATTGTGGGCTATGGTAGTGGAAAATACATTCACAAGCATTCCAGACATGGCCAAAATTATCCTTAAGTGGAAATGCCTCTTTTGGCTTCCACAGCTGTGTCATAAAAATAAGGTAATCAATTTTACTGTTTTGATGAAATAGTACATTACTGTATGTGCAAGCCAGTTCAAAAATTTAAATTAAACCTTTGATAAGTTACCTCTTTGGTCGCCATGTTGCGAATTAGAAGATTGTTCCATTGCAACTATAGCCGGCCGCTGCTTGACCAGTACAGCAAGTTCGACGTATCTTGAAGTACTTACTTTGTCAAAATAATGCTCTTTTTAAATAATTGACCTTACACTAACAGGATTATCGGAATCTGAAGTTTTGTATTAAGATTGATAAGTACTGTGAAATAAATAAACATGTTTAAGGACATATAACTCCAACATAATATAATTTTTGTTGCAGTATTTGTCTCTAAAGAAGATTGGCCAGGTTCTAACACCTACCTTGGTGGTATGCGGTACAAATGATGCCTTGGTTCCACCACCTATGGGCAAAGAGCTATATATGAGATGCGGAGCTATTTGCAAGAAAATGATCGAAATGCCAGGTGGAGGCCACGATAACACATGGACATGTAGAGACTATTATAACTCAATACAACAATTTTTAGTTAATGTACCACCATTGCCAGATAATATCAGTCCCTTCTTTGACAATGAAGATAATAGACACAAAGTTGTACACATTGTATAGCCGAGAGTTAAAGTAATATTACAATAATATTACATATTCTAGAAAATTGTAACTTCAATCCGGTGTGATATCTTTTGCATTTAGCATTGTTGAACAATTTTGATTGCACAATATGACAAGACCTTCAACGATACAGTCTTAGGGTTGCGATGATATTTAGCTAGAATAAAAATAATATATGTTTTAAGTGCTAAATTTAATTCCTTGCCGAGATAATTCTAATCATTGAGTTTAAATATTTTGATAAAGTACAACTAATAGCTTTGCTGGTAACAGAAAGTTTAATTAAGGCTATTGATACAAAAATTTGATAAAGGTTTTACCGTAATGTTGGTAGTTACAATATTCACATTAGTGTGGCAGTAATGTAAATATTTTTTAGTTTTAAAAGATTTGCAGTTAAACAATTTTGGCTTCTGTAATTTTTGCTTATTTACTGATAGCACTGATTCATACATAGTTGCTTTAAGCACTATTCCTTATAAACAAATATTCACTGCCTTGGAAGCTTAGAAAATTTTTTTGCTAATTCTTTATGGTAGGTAAAATAATTCCTATACGCTACGGGCGCATTGTTTTTTCTACGTTGCATAAGCACTATTAGTAACTGCTGCAGAGTACAAAATATATTATTGTGAGTATATATTAACATAAATGTCTTTTTGAATAAATTTATGCAGAACGTAGCTGAGAGCACAAAGTATTTTTGCCCTTATGTGAAATTAACAGATATAATAAAAATATAGAATTACAATACTTATATGATTATTGCTTCCATGAAAAGGCTTTTTAGATTCTATGACCCAAGATGACTTTTATACATATTTTTTAAGTTTGACCTAGTAACGAAATTTAAGTATTATTAATATATTATAATATGTGTATTCGCAAGCATGAATGATTATGCCTTTTATAAACTATATTAGATTTATTTAGTGCTTTCTTTGGGTTTGAAAATATGACCTCTTGCGTGAACCGTACACAAATGATATTTATGTATTATGCCCTATTAATTAAAATGTGAATAGTTCAATTGTTGAGAAATATTCCTAAGTACCTTTGAAAATGTTACTGTACAAAGTAGTACAGGATTAAATTTAGAGTATATAACTAATTAGCACAATTAAAATGCAAGCAATATTGCTGTATTAGCATGATTAAATTGTTTTAATCTGAGGAAATTTTAATAATAGTACATTACAACTAGCCGATTTAACATCAAATTCAAAACAGCATTGTACTTCGATTAACTATATGATGTTAACTCAAATTTTTGCCCTATAACAATTAAAGCAATAATAAAAATGTATATTTTGTACAACTTGAACTATTTTTGCGAAAAATTAATAAAATATTTTTGTAAACGCTTGTTTATTTATTGAAAATTATAGTGAATGGACAGAGAAAAAAAACATGTATACTTCCTAAAAATATTTATATTTTACTCCAAGATATATATTATGGTAATCAGGAAGATAATGAACATCTCGAGGAGAGGTAGAAAACTTTTAGTGTAAGTACGAAATACGAAGTGTAAATATTATGCCAAAAACTATAACTACATACTTCAGGAATTACTATTAGTTACATAAACAATACTCTCTGTCTTGGAGAGAATAAGTAAAACCGTTCTTTTATTATACACAATAAATATATGTTATTGAAAGAAAAGTGACCTTCACGGTAAATATTATTATTAATCATGGACATCAAACAGCAAGTACACCTTTCTCTATCTATTAGAAAATCACACTGAAACCACAGATTATTTCTACTTATTTGAATCGTGACATTTTCATTTATAATTGGGGAGAACACTAGTACTTAACTAAGGTTATACTAATTTTTTGTGGATATCCACGGGAAGGTGTAACAAAAAAGAGAATATTATGCAATTCATATAAACAATACAGTTTTATAAACCTCTACGACATCCATTTATAGCAACATACAATTCCAATAAAATCGACGCGGCCATCAAAAACAGTCGGTCATCAATAATTCTATTATCTAACAAAGAGTCTGTCATCACATGAATAAATAAATTACAACATTAAACATTCTTATATTATGCTCCATATCATGAATTCTCATCTGATGCAATTTAAAGTTGCTAAACATGGAAATTTGACAGCAGTTGTAATTCACGCGTTAAATATAAAAATACCGTATAGAAAACGTACAACTGAGTACCGTGACTCACTTAACCTATCGTATTTCGTAACTGTGGATCCACACTAGCGTGAATAAATGAACACTGTAAAGAACTTATGAAAAATAATCAAGTTGTGAAAGATAGTTTAATGTCTCGGGTACGGCGGATTCACTTCACAGATATTCATATATGAGGGTGTATATGACCATTTCTGTGTGTGGGGACGTGCATGTTGCACAGTTTAACGTGTGAGTGGGTGATGCGGTCGCGTCGTACCATGCCGCCGGGGCGAAGGGCTAGCGGCGCGCACCGAACTCGAGCGCGTCGTCCTCTGTGATGTCGCCGTGTCGCCACAGGTTGAGGCGGGCGGCCTTGGCGTGGTCCTGGGCGGCGCGGTACTCGGCCATCAGGGTGGCCAGTCGGTGGTCACGCACGTGCTGCATCAGCACCAGACCCTCCTTGATCAGGTTCTGTCGAAGTTAAATTACGATTATTTTGACAAACTTTGATTAGCATTATTTTCTATCGGGGACAACTTCGGCAGGACGGGTGATCAGTCCACGTTGTCCGCTGACCATTTCACCCAAAACCCATTTGATTAGCATAAAAACTGTTCTTGTGAGTTAATATTAAAGATACAAGACATATACCGTCGCTAGCATTTATTTTTTATTTTTTAAAAGAATAAACAATTCTCTCATATTTTTTTGGTATCTTGAACCGTTTTCATAGTGCACACAAGGAAAACCCTCAAAAATGAATAATTATCACCCGTTTTTTCCACATTTCCCTTTTCTTTGCTCATATTGGTTGAAAATGTACTTGATTGTGATTGTACCCTAAAGCTTTCCTCGAGTAATATTGAGATTAGTGCGTTTAATTAAACGGACAAACTCTTCAGATTTATTAGTACAGATTCTATAAATAACAATAATTTTAAACAAGTGTAAAGGCTGATTTCGATCCAACAGTCTTACCATCTACATTATGATCAGTGTCACAAGCAAGACTAGGTTCAAGTTACAATGTTTTGACCTATCTTCAATACTAGTTCATGTTACATCTCTGCAATGTGGTTCAACAAAACACAACATTTAACTATCAGAACCTAACCTTTCCAAGATCGACGTTAGTAGCTGGGTCAACCACAGTTACAGCTGGTGGCGTTCCACGTATCTCAACGTTGAGGTAGAGTCGCTTGTTCAGCGTGTCTAGTGACAACGCGCGGACCGCTTCAGCCCTGTCTTCGGGATCCGTTCGAAACTTTACACCGAACAGGCAGTACTCAGTCGCGTATGGTGGGTCCACTTCGGTACCGGCCGGTAGGAGGGCTAAGCGAGAGTGAGTCACAATCTGAAGGTAGAAGAAATATTTATGAATGAAAAAGATGAGCTCACTTATATGTATTAGTTCGACCGAGCGTGCCAACGACTTTGCGTACTTACCTCTCTGTTTCCATAATCTATGAACAGAATGTGAGCTTTTTTGTCATCTATTAGCTTTTCAATTTTGGCTCTGTACCATTGCTCGTCCAATGAAAAGCGTGCTGCGCAAATTTGTCCTCTTTTGGGTACATAGGAACCAGGTAGGGGTGGATTATTGTTGATCTCTTGATGGATCTTCTCCATCAAAGCCTCTAGCTTGGTACCAAGGTCAATATTTTGGGCAAAGAAAGTGCCTTCAGATGTTATCTCGGTTATTATAACCTTGTCGTATTTAATAATTCTGTCTTGGATGGTAGCATTGCGTTCCTTCTCCACCTCTTTCTCGGTTTCCACATAATCTTTCCAGATGCCTATCCGCTTGTTGCGCGCGTTTTCTTCAGCAGTTTTAATGAGCCTTCCATATTCCGACGACTCTGCACTGTAATGCATAGAAGCCAGGCCATGTTCAACGAGAGATACAGACAGGTTTTCATTATCAACCCATAACCATCCAATGTAATTGCCCGCTTTATCAATCTCTTCGATAGTAACATTGACATCCCGTTGGAGACATTTATCCTTCGTAAACAACATTGCTTCGTCTCCGTATGGTTCGCCCGGCTGTACCAAATTACTACCAGGTGTGGGACGTGAAGCTCTTGGACAGTTAATACCGGCTAGCAAAAATGTAACAATAACCGATTCCTTTGGAATATACACACGCATACGTGAGCCTGCTGTTATAAATTCTACTACACCTTCTGTTTTCTGAGCTCTCTTCAAGAATGGAAAGAATTTTTTAGCTTTAGCTACATCTCCACTTGTGTCTTGTACTCTGTGGGTTGGGATGTCTTTCTTTGCGTGAACACCAATACCAGCTTTACTTGCTTTCAGCTCGGCTTCCAGGAGTTTATCATAGTGAGAGCTTCTTTGATCATTGTCATTTCTGTATCCGACTACTGTAGCAAAACCTTTGCCAACTAAGGCTTCAGCAATGTTTCTAAAAAAAAAAAGGTTTAAGTAAATTTTATTAACAAAATAAAAGATTAAGAAAAAAATAGGTTAGACTTACGTTCCACCAACTGTGACTGTGCAACAGATCTTTTGAGGGAAGTTGATGAATTGGTTCTCTTTAGCGGGTTGAATGTAATCAACAATCACATTAACCTTTTTTCCAATTAGTTTTTTACGAAGGAACTCGCGGGCTTCGTATCTCCATGGGATATCATAGAGTGCTTTAAATCCTTTAGGTTTCGGGGGTGTTGCAGCTGGCTTACCCTCCTCATCATTGCTGTTCCTAAAAAAGTTTATTTTTTAAGAATAATTCTGCTGAGTGATATTTTCATTTTGCCATTTATAAATTGTAAATGAATGCGTAAGTAGTCGCATATAATATAATTCGTGAAAAAAAAAAATTATACATACTTTTCACGCGGTGGTCTTATGCTTGATAAAAATATTTTTTTGTAAACATTGTTAGCTGTTTTCACAACCAATGCATCTCCATTTACAATCTCCGTAACTGTTCCTGAAAATTCTTTCTCCTTAGCAGGAATAGCAGGTGCAGTGCTAACATAGTTGGTCCAAATACGTAACTTAGCTTCCTTTGCAGTGCATTCAGCATTACGGAGGTTGGCAGCTCCTTCAAGATAATGGTATACATTAAGAATTTGATAATTTTTAAAGTACAGCATGTCAATCAATACCATTCATAGTATATCATACTAATGAAATAAGATCATACCTGATTTCATAACTGCAAGCGACCAAACTACACATTTAGCAAATCCTTGCTGCACCAGAGCTTCTGCAATGTTGCCCTGTGGGTGTAAGATTGTTCCCACAAAATTGTTATTGCTGACAGATTCCAAAATAACCTCTATATCTCTTTGCAAAAGTTGTGACTCTAAAAAGAAACGGGCTTCTTCTGCGTATGGCTCTGACTCGCCATCAGGTTTAACTGCTGGACACTGCATAAATATAAACATATACATTCATGGTGATATTCATGCTGTAAAATGTAAATCCCAAACAATTTTCAAATATGTGCATGGACTTACCCTAATACCAGAGAGCATCATGGTGATTGGTGTATAATCTGGTAGGAGACACAGTCTTACAGTAGATCCATCTCTTACGTATTCAATGATAGCCTTCACAGGTTGACCATTTAATTTGTTAACAAAGGCTTTTGGATTCTCCACTGACCATTGGATATCTCGTACATGGCTCTACACAGTAATAATAACACAGAATTAGTATGAAAAATAAGATATTTTCTCATAAAAACAATTGTGGTTGTGAATTAATTTAAGCATTAAGATTAGATTTATTTTAATACAACAAAAGACAACTCAGAAAGAGAAGATATTGTATCTTGTTATTCTATCAAGCATTATCCTTAGCAAAACTTACCTGTAAGTCTGTTCCCCATAATCCCTTTCCTTGTGCTCTGGCTTCATCTTCTATGTCAACTAATTTTTTTAACTGTGGAATATTCCTTGCACCGTCCCTCACTTTAACAAGACCTTCAGCCAGCAAGGATTCTACCATATTTTCATCTTTATTGGGATCTTTGCCTGCCCAGACATTTCCATATTCCCTTGTAGCAGAGTTTGGTGGTTTTTCTGCTGTAAATATGACTTCTTTGCCAATAAGCTTTTTCCTTAAGAATTCTCGAGCTTCCCAGGCAAAGGGCTCATCTGGTGTTTCCACGTCACTGCAATGCAAGTTTCATAGTAGTTAAGTTCATAATTATATTATATACTCGTAAACATCACACAGCAACTTAGTTAAATATTTTTTCAACATTCATATTCATAAGTTTCCATAACAAAATTTAAATATTTGACATTATTAAGCCACAAAAAAATTACTATTACATGTTTATAAGCTTAAGTCAGATTTATTTAAAATATCATCTGATGTAAAAACAAATAAAAATTTACAGATTTTTTGTGTTACCTACTTAATAAATTAACTATATGGTGTCTAATAAATAATGAACACAGATAATACAGAAGATACTATATTTGTACATGACATAATTAATTTGAAATGTAAAATTCTGCATTTGTATGCAATACTATACTATAAAAGAATATGTTCGCCAGCAAATATACCACTACTGATAAATAAATATTATTACTAAAATAATAAAATTGTATCTAGTAATCTTAAATTTGATAGAATTGAATTTTATTCTATTGTTAGTAGTCATCAAATTGAGACATTTATGGTAACTGATTGATAAGACAAATCTTATTTTTACTTATTAATCTTATTAGAAAGAAACAAAACGGTTTAAGGAGAAACAGTGAAAGTTGGATAATCTAATATCATCGGCAAATGGAATATGGATGAAATCCACATGGACTGCTCAGAATTTTATTGTGGTCCCAAATAGAAAATAATGTTAGTCATTAAAATATTTCAATTAATAGACAAAACAAGTGTCATTATCGCAAAGCATTATAAATAGGCACTCAATCTCATTAACAAATTAAACAAGACAGAACTAATTAGTTAAAAGTTGTATAATAATACAACTTTTAGACACCAAGAGGAAAACTTAAGTCACAATGCTATTTTAGCAAGTTACTAACATGGTTTATCTCCTAACACTGTCAACAGGTGGTAACATGTTGTAAATGTATTACAACAAGTGCCACACATGAATTATAAAAATATGCCTTCTGTATTGGTAAAGAGATAATAATTATAAAATGTACTATCTATTCATTGCATAACTCTACAATTTGAACATACTTTCACTTGTAAGGTTGGTCTAATTGTGTTAATCTCATTTGTTTTGTAAATTGTATCAAATGTATGAGCAAAATATAATGTTTTCACCCACCTATTTGGAGTCCTTTGACGCGCGAGTTTAGGTGCTGTAACGCCAGATAACGAAATTACTTTTTCAGGCGGCGGCCCTCCTTGTGGCTGTTTTCTTATAATAACTGTATCACCTGACAATACCTATAAAACAGTACGTAATTGAGCTATATGTAATGCAAACATTGCATATAACACTCATTTATAATAGCCAAATATAACACGAACGAAAAGTGATCGGACAATATTGGTAAAGCGTAAAGCTTTTTCTCCTGCACCGCGTGGTATTTTTTGTATTTAAACACAAGCGATACAAAGTAATGATTGGAATATAAGTAAATCGCTGAAGTTGTAAGTCTCTAAAATATAATATTAGGTTTGCGGAGCCGGGGATGCGATGCCAACAGGGCATTTTTCGGCGTAGGTGTCCACGAAGGCGGCACGAGGCATAGCGGTATCATAAATAGGAAAACGTCTTAAAGGCTGCACTTTTGTCTTACCTGCTTCACGATGCCTATTTTGAAGGCTGGTACCGCGACAAAAGTCGACATTGTGGTCCACGCGTATTTTTCTCAATGGATGTTCAAATCGAGTCGCAACTTACAGCTAGCGCGAATGAAAGTAAAATTGTTGCAACTAGCAGGGCTGGCGAAACGTGGCGGGTCATTAATGTTGCTACAATTAAAAACGTCGCTTCGTGTCAGTATAATATCGCCAGACCAAAAAAATAAAATTCGATATTTATCTATATACAGACGTAACATGTAAAGATATAATAAAGGTAACAGATTAGAACGAAACATATTACCTCTTAATTTTAAACATTGTTTACTAAAATGAGTGCTATTGTATAATATAACACACCAAATAGTGAGTTTTATAAAATAAATAATAAATAGCAATAGCTACTCTATGTAACCCGTGACGTGTCAAACGTGTTCATTTTTATATAAGCCAGCGACAATAACACAATTTATAAATGATTATTGCACAGAGTAATACAATTTTACTAGTCTGTGCATTACTTGGCGGACAAAAAAAAGAAAAGTTCCCGCCATGCAAATAGTTAGTTCTTCTTGCCACAAATGAAAAAAAAAAAAAAGTTCCCGCCAATATATCATGTTTAAAATTGAGATGTTATTTTTTTTATTTGAAGTATTAAATTAATATAATATTACAACTTAGCACACTAGTTTATATTGTTAAAATTGGTTGTAATCTATAAATCAATTTTTTGTCGGAAAATGATTGACTTATAAAGAATTCTTTTGTACAGGATCTTTGTGAAAATTGTATTGTAAATTTATTAAAAAAAAAAATCTGAAAATCCCCTTTTTTCCACACGCTTTTTTCAATATAAGATGTTGACTACTCTGTACTACTTCTACTTACCTTTTTATATTGTTAAATGTTAAAGATGTTTTGAACAAGATGAAATTTGCATTATTACTTTGAAATATAAAAATACATGTATATCTCTATACTTACATCAATATTACAAGGATGACGAGTCTCGACTCAAGATGTATTCAATCTCTTCCAAAACAGTTAGATCTTGTTGGATGTGGGTTTGTACCTGAATAAAGAATTATTATTATTATTATTACGTTTGTGTAACTTTTATTTACTTAGTAGGTTTCGAGTCAGCCCCAAACTTTCTAAATACCTTTTAAAAATCGTCTATTTAAAAAAAAATATTTTAGAATCGTGTTAAAAGAAGGTTTCATCTACGTCTGTACGTCGTAAACTGAATAGCTCATAGCCAACTAGAAAAAAAGTATATTTTAAAAATGGAATACAAAATGACAACCCACGATCTGTTCACTTTTTGGTCGTCAGAAGCATGACTAGTACTATGTAATATTTGTTCACGATAATCTTTGTTGTAGTATTTTTTATTTTAACAGTGAAGGGTCTAAACAGTTTTAAGTTGAAGAAGTGTTAGAATGGCTAGTGCAGAGTTTAGAAAGGACGTAATGCCCGTTCGCCCTAGAAGCGTATATACAGCGCATTCATATAATCAGGTAACAATGCTAAAATGGACGATATACAGATTGTTTCAAGCCGTTACCTATTGGTATAGCTTAGTACGTAACTAAGCCATTAAAATGGCAGATATATAATTTATGTTTTAGGAGGAATCTAGTCTATCCGCATTTCAAGATTATAGCAAATTCCTCGAGGGTGGGCTTGGGCAGGCGGAGTTAGTTGGAGCGACCGCATGGCAGCCTCCCTGGCGCGCCCCCCTACAACGAAAAGCGCCATTTTACCCCGGCGATGACATCTACCACGCTGATACCTGGAGGGAGCTTGAGGTAATAGCATCAATCGAGATAATGTAACATTATAATATATAGGCACTCTTAACTAAGGAGAGAGAGAGAGAGAGATTAGGAGTGTGGAAGATATTGGTTTTTATGTCGGTTATTCGCTATTGTCAACATAATAGTAACTACATTAAATACGAAATTATAGGAATTAAAAAAAGTTGGTTTATATTTTAATATGCTTAATTATTATTATTTATTAATTAATGTTATATAGTTTGTCTATAAAATCCAGTTAGTAATAAGTCTTGGTCAAAAGTTTTTCTACATAAATACAATAGAGGCGTAGTGGTAGAGGTATGCTTATCAGTTTAAGTCGTATATAGTTAACTGGTATATAGTTTAATATCTGTATCCACCTGTATGCAATTATGGTGGGGTTAGAAAGTGCACTTGCGCCGTTTAATTGGCTTATCTTAATGGAGTCTGTCTGGCGGCCGCTGTATGGAGCGCAGAACAATATGGCCGGGATAAACCGGGATTGTAACCTAGGGACTGTGCTTTCACGTCTAAATGAATCACTTTACAGTGATTCAAAGCAGACGCTGTAGCTTCTTTTTGGAATCCCCACAATGTTTGAAATTTTAAAATTTTTCACATGTGCACATGATGGCACTATATAAATTGAAAATTGAAAATAACCGGCTTCGTCAGCGTTCCGTGCTGTTGCTCGAGTCGTAAATTTTTTAAATTTATTTTCGATTTATAATATAAGAAAACTATGACAAGTTTTTATTTGTTAATATCGACGAAGACTAATACGATGCTCCTTTCTTTCAATGATGCCTGTGTATTCGAAAATCTTTTTACATACAAAACTTATGTTTGTTCGAACACTTAAACGTCGAGAACGACTACACTAATTGTCATGGTTTCATTCGTTGTGGGTTTGTTCTCATCAAGAGTAACTATTAAAGTATTGGAAATAAGAAAATTCATTATAATAATTTTCCTTGGTATTTACTGTCAGGTCGGACAGACATTTTTTTTCTTTTTTTGACGAATGTAAATAAGTTTAAAATTTTAAAGTATTTAAAAGTTTAAAACTAAAAGTAGTTTTTTTTTAAGATTTTTATTGAGTTACCACGACCGGATAAAAATATTAAGCGGACCTAGCATTAGTGCCTACGAGGCACATAACTAGAAGTATACTCGTAGTTGAGTACTCGTTTCTTTTGTTTGGCAAAGGTAACGGATGTGGTTGGAGGTGCGGGCTACAATGCATCTGTAACGCCGCACGGCACTATCTGTCTTCGCCTACGAGATCGCGTCAAGTGAGTTGGATTTTACAATAAAGATACAAATACCTGTGTTTAAATAGACTTAAAGGTTGAACGCGAAATATATCAAACATATTTAAAAATTGTAACAATGGCCTGAAGTTTCTAAAGCTTTGGAGCAGCGTGGTCACGGGGAGACTCAGTGTTTAATTTAAATGTGTACTATTCGCTTAAACTACGGTGTTTGTTCACGTAACTATGTACCATAATTATCAACCCCTTGAGGCTGGCCAAATACGTGTTTGGCAGATGTCACGTTTTGAAATTGTTGATTTCATGCCGATTTCCTCACGATTTTTTCCTTAAATGAGAGCATGTGTCAGAATGTCGTCAGTTAATTTTTGGGTCAAACTTTTGTTAGAGACAAAAGGTTTTTGTTAATGATAGAGGAGGACAGCCATATAATATATACACAAGATATGCTGTCGGCCTATTTTGGCTTTGGATATTCGGACGTTCAATTAGACCAACTAATGGTTATACTCGTAACTTATAAAATACTTAACTGGCCTTTTGAGATCAGTTATTGATTTAATTATTAAAATAGTTAAAAATGCTTGCGGTTTGGAAGGAGCCCGCTCTAATAAGAAACGAACAAGAATTAGTATGTGAAGACTGTGAAAGAAAACTTGGCGATAAAAGGAGTGGCGTTGAGTTTTCGCCAGTTCCTCTCGTTCGTTCTACGCTCTTGATTTGAGAAGTGACAGCGAATGTACATTTAGTCTTTAGTTACTCAGTTAGTTAGTTGAATAAATTATTTTTGACTCTTACAGAGTGGATATGACGATCGACGGGGCTGTTCGCGTGACGAACGCCAAGAACAACATAATATTGGCACTGTCGAGATCCGGTGCTGCGGCGGCTCTTATTCACCCAAATGGCAGAGTGTACCACTACGGCTCCCGAGTTGAGATTCAAGCGCGCCACCAACAGGGAAACAATAAGTATGTCGCGCTTAACGAATGTTACGTAGCATTTAGTTTGATGCCAGCCAGTGTTTGTTGTGGGAATTTTATAGGTAAGTAACACATAAACTGCCTCGGGCTCAGTTAGGACGCCGTTTTGTTTTCAATAAACGCGACTGTTCGACAGAATGGAGAAGCAGCTAAGCTTCTACAACGGACACAATGTGTCTGTTTTCGTATATATATTTTTTGTGTAATTCAGAGGAATGAGTTTTATTTAAGAGAGTGCCGCCGGACTAACATCAATTTAATTTCTTATATGTTTTAATATCTATTAAATAATTTATATTTTACTAAATCGAAATATTACTTTAAACGAAGATTTTCTTTTTAATTCTTTTTATCATAGGACAGGACGGTTGGGAAGGCTCTGAGCATGTTTGCAAAAATTTTATTAGCATCGGCCTAATAGTTTCGGCGCAGGAATTATTTTTCGTATTAGCAAAATACGTATGTGATAGAGAAAATAGAATTAACGACACTTATTGAAGTGCGTATGTTCATTTTCTTTGCCATCTTCTCGTGTCAAAAAAAATGAAAGGTTATATTTTTTAAAGTAGTCTGATTACAATGATTAAATTACACGGGGAAATTTGATCTGTCAAAACTAGTTAAGTCTTGTGGCATTCAGTATATTAGAAAAAAAGAAAGTTTTTTAAAGGGTTTGAGCGTTTTGCTTAAAAAAAATATGTTTTTTTGAATTGAAAAACTTCCAAAAAAGTTGGTTAAGTTGTCGCACAATAAACTCGACTTCAAATTTGAAAACAATAAAGGAACTAAAGTTGGACCTAATTGTCTTTTGATACCGTTATCTCACTTTTGCATTACCGGTCCTCGTGTACAATGAAGGTGCGCTTTCAAAGCTTTGAATTCTAGTTTCAATGGAAGAATGAAGCTTTATTAAGACCCCCGTGCCTATGTTGTCCAGCATAGCGTTAAGCGAGAGAGATCATGGGTTTGAATCCTGGTGAAATAATGTTGTATTTAAAGATCAATTACTTGCATTTTAAATACAACCATGGAATTGAACTTCGTCACAATTATCTATAAACAGCTACATCTTTTAAAATAATAATAAATTTCAAATAAGTTTAACTACTATATATCGCGTTTCAAACTGTTAAAGTATTTTATTTAATTATCTCTTTATATGAAGTTCTTTAATATAATTCTTTTGCTGGTACTGCACTTAACGGCTAGTTATAAAGTTAATCTAAGTATAAATAAATGCAGAAATTGAAGAACATTGATTTGTAAGCTAATAAAGGGATACATTTGTTTTTTCATTGTACTATCGTGCAGCGATTTTAATGAAAAGTCAGTTCGGTCGGTACAAAGCTTTGTAGAGGCAGCTAACCGAAAAGCAAAGTGCCTTCATCCAATATTTATATCCAGCAAAGTAAACCAATTTGTGCTCTACTGAGAGTTACAAGATTGCTACCTAACCTAAATACTTTCAATTACACAAAAACCACAAGTTGCTTTTAAGCCATTTTTTTTATATTTTGCAAAGTTATATATACCTTTGATATTTTTAATTTACGTAAAAAATATTATTTCTTGAATTGACTATTTTTAATTAACAATGTCTTCTACTAGCTACTGTTCAACAGCTAAGATTTTTATTGACGTTAACAATTTTATTTAATGCTAGCTGTCTCGGGGACTTCGTTCGCGTAGAACAGTTATTTTTGAAACGCAAATATTGTTTTTGCAAACTTCTACATCTTTATAAATCTAAGTCCCGTCGTTTTTGCAAGTTAATCTTAAACGGTAGACTTAGTGTCCCGGACATTTTATTAGATCATTTAATGAGAAATCATTCTTTCATACATACTTTTTGGGTATCTCTCTTGATTCCAGCGCGTTGTTTTATAGCCTATAGCCTTCCTCGACAAATGCTCTAACCAATATAAAAAGAATTATTCAATTCGAATCCGTAGTTCCCGAAATTAGCGCGTTCAAACAAACAAACAAACAAACTCTCCAGTTGTAATGTTTGACATATTTTTAAAATAAGAATCCATGCCCATGTTGTATATATATTTGGCGCATGTACCAATAGGTTTTTACATTTGACTCCAAACCCGTTTTTGACACGTGCATTTAATGTGAAGGTACGCGAAGATGTGGTACAAGGGCGTTTCTTTCACGGCGGAGCAGTGCGCGCTGGTGTACTTGGTGGATGCTGCTGGAACCAGGACCACTACTGATACCTTCCTTGACATGAGCCAAGACTTCACTCTCAATGTCTTTTACAAGTGTGTATGTTTTATATGTATGACTTAGATCTGACAGATAAAGCTCTAGTATTCAGGTACCATTGTGAACGTATAATGTTCGAGTCTCCATCGCACTAGTAATGTGATGATCACTGGTTTGATTCCCTGTTAAAAACAATGGATTTGAAAGTGATATATTCGCTTTGTTAGTGGTAAATCTATACTAATATATAAAGCTGAAGAGGTTTTGTGTGTCTGTTTAAACGCGCTGATCTCGGGAACTTTTGGCTTGGATTGTATAATCTTTGTTAGCTGGACCAGTCATCGAACGAGACTTTATGATAAGGCTAAAACCAATTGACGCGAGGTAACAGTAAAAAATGTTGAAAAAGCTGTTGTCTGTCTGTCTTTGATTCCGTTGCGTGGGCTGAAGAGTAGATTCTGGATACCGCAAAAATATCTTAAAATAATGTAAAAGAAAATCGGGGACAGAATAGGTACGTCTTTTTTAAGACGAACTCACAAGAAGCGTTTTTATACTAATCAATTCTGGTCGTTAATGGGACAAGACGTGTGCCAGGTCAGCTAGTACCGTGCGCGTACAATCAGATTTTCTTTATAATTAAATAACTGCAACGAATATTATAATACTATTACAACTAAAATATCTTTATTCCTGCATGACTTATGAAAACCCACGCGCTGTTAGGTTGTGCTCATAACTAACATGACAGCGTCAGCGGAGCGAATATGGTATAGGCGGTTTTTGTAGTACAGAATGTATGTAATGTTCTGTGTTTCGACCAGTTTTTTTTTTTTCAATTTAAACGGTTGGTAAGGTAATAGAGGGGAATAACAGGCAAAACTAAACTAACTTAGTTTCAGTACAGCTTTAAGATATACAGATGTATTACAGTAAAAAACATGTTTAGATTTTATATTTAAAAGAATATGTAGGGACAAGGGACGGAACGGATAATTATTTTAATAGAAGACAATTATAGCAATTAGTGAGAAAATTACAATCAATATTAGGTTACGGAGGACGACAAAGGAACCATTTTGTACTCTCGAAAGAAATCTTTCCTATATATCCGCTCCGCTATCGCTCATCTGTCGTGGTCGAAACCGTGTCCAGTTGAAGCATTGTTACGCATGAATGCCGTCAAGCTATTTATTTTTAGCTTAATCCAACACCTGCAACGAGCTGAGAGAAAGTAATTAGCTCTCAATGCAGATAATAATTTTAAAAGATATATCGGTTTTGTTGTTGCAAATCTCATCTTTATAGATTATACCAGCTACCCAGGACGTTGTTCACGTCCCGTCGTTCTTGTATGTTAGTCCTGAAAGTATTTGTTGGATCATTTAAAGAATTTTAAAAAAATCAAAGAAATCAAAAAAGAATTAATCTTTTTTTTTGGGCATCTGGAACCGTTTCTGCAGCGAATGCAATGGAAACTATCAAAGATGAATAATTTTTCCCGTTTCTTCCACTTCAAATACATGCTCTAACAGAAACGAATTCGAACCAGTAGTTCCCGAGATTACGCGTTCAAACAAAAACACTATGCAGCTTTATAATATAAGAATTTACTTTTGTGATCGGACAACAGCTTAAAAATATTAAATATAATAGAATAGGAAGATGTAACAGCTATCGTTTATAATTGATCGATATTTCAAGTGAGTCTCGTCACGGACCGTCGTATGTGAATGAAGCGCTGTCCATACTCCAAGCAGCTCAGTACTGGTTGACTGATGACGGAATTGACAACTGGATCATTAACAATGTCCGTGTGAGCCAAACTGCTGATGGACTTGTTAGGTGGGTGTGAGATTTTTAAATTTCCACCATTATGTTCCCAAAATTATTAAATTTCGACTGTGTGTTTCAGCAGATTTTATTTAATGGGAGACATAATTTATGTATTTATGTTGTCGATTTAAAAGCATCTGATAAAAAAAATTTAAAACATCTAATATTTTTTATGGGGGCGACATAACCTATTTATATATAGATATATTTAATGTTGAAATCCTTTCAATAAAGATAAAAGTATGTAAGTATGTAAGAAACCAAGTCCAAGACCAAGTTGGTTTCTCAAAGTTTGTAATATATATAACCAAGTCTGTGGTATATATATATATATATATATATATATACCACAGACTTGGTTTCTTTTTGGTTTGGATGGTTAATTTTAGCTTAAGATATCAAATTTAAAATAAGTCATAAATATATATATATATACTGTAAATATGATACTTAACCATTTAAAGCTTGATATATTTTAGTTAATCTTTATTTTATGAACTACGGGACGACGTTTCGGATGGTCGTGGTCAGGGGTTATAAGTTTAACTAATATAATTCGTTTTTTAAACGGTAAAAAGTGTGACACGCCACTGATAACATTTTTACTAATGACTTTCAATATATGAGCCATGACTTAGGCGTTTTCATATATAGGTATTCTTGTATTCGACTACCTTGCGCTTGAAAAGACAATACAAGTGTACAATTTGATGACGGGATATTCATTTCCCCGGGAAGTTGAACGTAGCAATTATTACGTAGGATCGTTCGTTCGTGTACTTATTTTGTGTCGTGAAAACATAGTGTCATAGTTAGTTACATTCTACTTAATTTATTACTTCGTTACATCATTACCTGTCTCTAATTGCGTTTTCTACAATATTAAGAGTTTTTTATATAAGATCCCAGGTCAAAAATTGACACAATAATTCTTGTATTGGTAGAATAAACATAAAAATAGATTAGAGTGAAAAAAATACGCAGGGCGAATGCCGAACAGCCATTATCAATTGCTACAGTAAATTTAAGCTAGCGTTTAGCAGAATTTTATAAATAAAAGTAGATTTCTGTCGTAAGTTAATTTTATCCAGTTGTCTTCATCTAAGTTAATACGTGTATTCCTTGTGCAGAATTCATCGCTGCAGTCACAAGTATCAGTTGCGTACGAGCCCCAGCAACGGTTCTGCATCTATAACGAGCCCCTTTTTGCACTGCACGGCGTCACTTGGGCAAACTCAGCATTTGTTTGTGCGGTAAGATTCAAATCCTGGCAAATTTGTGAACTACCACAGAAGCTTGACAACAATGATTTCAATTTCAAATCTCGAGTCCTTTTTAATGTACGTGTTTCAGAAATATTTTTAATTAAAAATGTTGGACCCTGTGAGAAACGAACCTACGACCATATACGATTAGCCATACATTGCTGCCATTATACCAACGAGCCCATTGTTAAACATATTACTACAGTCATATTTTTTAAATCGTAGATATTTGAAAATATTTTCCTAAACTTACATATTATAAGATTTATATAGTATCTATTGACGACGCGGATGTAAAGAATAGCTAGTAAAGATTGGATTTATTTGTATTCACCAAGCGAGGCTTACAGCTGTTATAAATTCGTTTAACTTATAGTTGCTATAGTTTGGGATTTAATTTCGTATCACGTAGTGACGTAAATCTGTTTTTTAACAGACGCGGCGAGAGGCGAATGCACTTTGATGGCAACTCTTTTATAGTTCGCAACGCTGGCCACTCAGCCGGCTTCGATGACAAGAATCAACTGAAGGTGTACTGACCTATCTCATTTCTAATTCAGCCAATACTGCCAACGTATGTTTCCTCGTTAACAATTAATCTTCAATGCGGGGCAAGTCGTTTCGGAAATTGCCGCGTGCAATAGCGTTGCGTAGAATTTGTGGGTTTTTGAATTCGATTTTTAAACATCGCCAAGTCTCGACGAAGAATCATAGTGCATAAGATTACAGTATCATTTAAGTGTTAGATCATCGCTGACTGTTTGCTTTTGATCTTTTTTTTATTTATCATATCGGCAATAGAACGACCAGTTAACAGTGGCATGTTGCGACACTTTTATATGTTTATATATTTTTACATCTGATGTTTTTTTAGAATTTTGTTCCATTCGTTGTGCCGTTTTGTTAATAGGAGCGATAGGTTCTTCAAACTCTTCAATAATGCATAAAGAACAGGATTCGTTGAAACGGAGAGAAATGGCGCAATGAATATTTAATATAGCTTGTATTTGTAGGTACTCGATTATGATGATCATTTCACATTTTATATGAATAAAGCTGCAAATGCTTAGGCAGTATTTTACTTTAATATTTACAGGTTATCGGCCCCTGATATTGTAAAATATAATAGTCTTTGAAATAGTTGCTATTCATATAACATATAGAATGATCATTTTAATATGAAACACACAATTGAAAAGTGACAGGAAGGAGGGACTTGGCGATATTTATTCAAGTGTTTTAATTATTGAGACTTGTCCTCTGGGTTAGGTAAACCTTCAAGTATTAGGTACTGTAATAAATATTATTTTTAATAAAATATTTTGTTATAAATTCGCTTTTTTCGTTTTCTACGCCAACGCGTATAATTGCGTATTTTAGCTTATTCACACGTCATAAACAATATTACTAAATAACTTATCTGCGCAGAAGCAATAATAGCATTATGTAGATCCGTCTACAGACGCCAATGCTACGATGCGAGGTCTACGGCTTCAAGATGCAGCTGATCGATCTAGCACAGCCTCTAAGGCGCATAGCATCTAAAAGATATATAGCGATTCCTTAGGCAGTTCACTTATCTAATTGAAAATAAAAAGTTAAAGCATTTGTGTGTAGGTAATAGGTTAAGGCTATACTACAATATTAAATAAAAAGTAACAGTTTTGATTGACAACTCTAGTTAGTTTTCTTCAAATACTATACAAATTTTAAGGAAATACAAGGTTTTGTGTTAAATTTTCAAACAAAAACAAAATGCATTTTATACCGATTCTCAAAGGGTTTAACGAATGAGAACTTATTCCAAGGAGTAATATTCCAAGATACCTAGTACTAACAGGGTCGGTTCGTCAATTCCCGGTTGATATTAATGCGAAATCGACATCGGAAGAGCTTGTCAACGACTAAGCCTTAGGGCCGCTACGTGAGTCTACACTTTAATGCGCGCTTTAGAGTAACCCTACCCCCAATAACATTTCAAATTTTCATTCAAATCGCACCATATTAAAACAAGACTTTCCCTGTGGCTTCGCTGCCTCAGAAAAAAAATTACCACCGTACAACGAATTTTCTTTTCTATAGACTCTTGGAAAAGTATTTTTTAACTTTTGGGTCCTTATGATTTAAAGAAACTGTCATATGTATAAGTCTAGAGATGTCTACAATTATATATCAGTTGTAATATTCGAAACAGTTCTTGGTATATAGGTATATACACAATAATTTCTCGTGTGTATTTACTATCAAGTCCTTTTAAAAATATATACCAACTAATTCTTAGTAAAGAAGAATAAATTCAATAGTGAAAAAATATACAATTATTAAAGAACACGTCTTTGAAATACATAATGAATAGAAGTTCGATATTGTGGTTTTATGTCTTGTTCTATTGGTTTTAAAACTAATAAAAATTTTGAGGAACATAAAAAAAAGTTGGCTTTTCAAAAAATACAATACACGGGAATATAGCAAAAACAACGTTTACGCGAATAAAATGTTTTGTAAAAGAAAAATATTAAATGTTCACTATTGTCCCAGGTTCAGTGGAGTGGGCGTTATATAAAACAAGTTAATAATAAATAATCTATTGAGGTATTAAAAAAAAAAAACAATTAGAGAAACATTGAAAGTTGTGGATGTCCATACAAATTGTGTGTCGGCAATTTTTCCATCATGTGCAATATTGTTTATTTATGGGGTTTATCCATTTAATATCCAGATTGCCAGACGAAGTCCAACATGTTGAAAATTTGAAGCATGTTGGACCAATATCCGCTCCCGTTAGACCAACGAGCCCGATATAGTAGTGAAAAATATTTGTCCTATTTCCGAAAGCTTAAACCTAACCTTTGTTGGAACTACCACGCTACCTCCCATATAGAAAGACATTGATCAGTAATTGTACTACACTTCTAATAAGCTGTGATTCCGAACTGCCATAGTTCAGCTCCAATGTAATTGCACTTGTAATTCGGTAATGGCTGGTATCATCGAGATAAATTCCATGAATCGTGCATGGACAATAGCGGACCCGTTACAAGAGCACAAGCAAGCGGAGCGGCTCTAGAACGGTCGACAACTTGGTACAGTCGTGGTAAAGCTGCACGAAACAATAGGGCTGCCAGGGTCGGAATATCCTACTATAAACCGATCGATGGAAGTGTTATATTCAACTGATAATTGAGGCTCCTAGGGGCAGAGTAGCCTAACTGCAATTTTATGACTTGACTTCTTTATAGTCTAAAATTGTTAATCTACAATAATATCCTAATTGACAATAATGTTTTTTCTTATTGCGCCAGTCTGCCTCAATTTAGCAAAAGTTTTCGGAAAAGGTATAGGAAATCCTTGAACCGAGATCCGATCTTAGAGTTCTCGTTAAAAGATTCTTAATAATTACTAGCTGTGTCAGCGACTTCCGCGTAGAATAGTTATTTTGTATCCACATTTGTTTTTATAAACGTTTTCTTCATCTTTATAAGTTTTAGCTGTTACCCACGAAGTCGGTGGCATCTCGTCGTTCTTGCAAGTTAGTGTTATAAGATATAGTGTCGCGGATATTGTATTAGATAATTTAAAGGTCATATAAATCATCTTTCATACATATTTATCCCCTGGGTATTTGTAACTGTAATAATAACTTTCCCGTTTAATTCCATTTTTCCCGTTGTGCCTTCGCTCCTATTAGTCACAGCGAGATGTTTTATAGCCTTCCTCGATAAATGATTTAGCCAATGCAAAAATAATTTTTCAGTTCGAACCAGTAGCTCCTGAGATTAGCGCGTTCAAACAAACAAACAAACTCTTCAGCTGTATATATTAGTGTAGTTTTAATTCACAATGCTAACTGTAATGTACGCAAAGAATCATATCAGCGTTGTAATATATTACGTACATCGCTCTAGGAAAAATCGCTAATGGCAAAGTTGATTAATGCTTGAATGTTTTAACAAGCAAAAGCTACGCCGCAAAACGCGAAGATCCACTCCCGACAACCCTAATTGGTTCGCGGCCGCGTACTAGCTGTCTCTAGCGCGTACAAGGTATCGATCGGGCCGACGGTGGCGCCACGGCCCAACCGATCGTGGAGCCGGCTGCCCTCGTGTCTCAACTGAACTGTCAAAACTGACGTAACTGCGAGGGCGAACACACGGCGCTCGCCGTTCGCCCAGTACGTTCGTGTCGCAGACTGCGAAATTGCATTTGTTGCTTTACGCGCTTCGGTAAGCATTCACTCGGCGCGGCGTATATTGTTGTGAAGCTGGGGCCTGGCGCGCGGGCCCGTACGCTCCTACCGGTATCGATCGCATCCCGTCCCTTCAATGTTTATAAACAGCCGGCCGCATCTACATTAAATACGTTTTATGCGAATAAAGCCGACTCGTGAACTATATGGACGGTTGACTGTGACATCTGCACCAGCTAGCTGATAGGATTTAGCCCAGTGCAAGTACGTATGCACTAAACTATTATTTCGCTTACACAGCGCTATGGTTACGGCGGAGGCACGATTACGTAGATGCGACTAAAAATAAAATAAATGTTTCTAGTAATTACTAAGCGCATTTGATTATTGTTAAATTTGAGCTACGCCGGAGCCTGGCTATACTTCTGCATGTGAATGCACCAATTGCCGGGTGCACCATAGAGTTACGTAGGCGATTTTGCACCGGCGTAAAGCCTGCGACACTGCAATTACGCAATTGTTATCAATTTCTAATGCAACTTTGACACCTTCATTAATTCGTGGTGTACACGTTGGTGGTTTTAATTATATGTATTTAAAAAGGGTACGAATCACATGTTGATAGATCACCATGAACATTCACCGCTTAAGTACCACAGCATCCAATGTATCAATAAGGGCTAATAAATTAGGGAAATTGCGAGCGTATACCTGCGTTAGTTGTAGATTTTATTTATTAGAACTAAGCTAACATTATTTAACGAATGAAAGACAAGAGGATCTTTTGTAATGCTGATCTTGTTAGGTAAGCGTGCATTAGGGTATGGCAGAAATCTACCAATATTATGAGACAATAACCTGTTTTTATTGTGTAAGATTTTTTAAAGTTCTATTTAAAATTTCTATAAAAGCGTTCTTTCCTGCTTCAAATATGTTGCTAATATACTGTAAAATATACAATAATGAAATACTGTCTATAGTTTACGCGAGTAGTACACATTTAAATAAAACACTTTAACGGTTTAAAACGCGATATATTAGTTAAACTTATTTGACAATAATGAATTACATTACATATTATCTCTTCGAGAGAAACCGCATTTTTAATATATATTATTTAGAAACCTACTAAGTACGAAGCGGCCTTAAGCATCGAAGGTTTTGTAGAAGATTTATCAAAACCACTCCAGTATCTTTTTTTTAATATTTCGTCTTACACATACGAAATATATTCAAAAACATGGGCGGAGACAATAATCCCTTAAAACTTAAACATTTTTTACATGTTGTCATGATGACACTATATAGATTAAAAATCGAAAATTAATTGCCCTGCCCGAGTCGAAATTTTTT